ATGAGGATCTTACATACCTATCGAGCTAGCAGCGAATGTAAATATTCGCAACATACACGCACGCAGGATAGATCCAACGTAAGATAAAGCTCGTCGCCCATTACCGGGGGTAAAGCCACGAGTTTTCGAATACAAACACCGCCATCGCGCAAAATCTCGTGCCGCCTCCCTTCGATCGAACCTCCCGGCTCATGTGCTGATGTCGTTAGTCGACACTTGTCACCACGACCGAGCCAAAAGCTAATTCGATGATTAGACGAGCGTCCCAATGGATTATGAGGACCAGCTTTGGCAGAGATGTGCTGTGTTTGCGCTCAACTCGTCGCTGGATCAATTACCCAACTTCCCGATCCGGGTCCCAGCCTCCCGGCAGCCCTATATAGGCACGTAGCCTCATAGAGATTCGAGGGCGCGAACTCGTGCACGGCTCGGGCAATCATTGATCCCCGGTTACGATTGAAATCTGGAAAGACGTGCATCGAGGTCCTCTGCTGCACTCTACTCGACTTTCCAGATGCTTGTGTCATTTAGATTTTCCGATCTGGCGGTTGGGAAACTGGTGTCCGAGCCAGCAAGATCAACGCGGCCCAGATACTAACATTTACGGGCGTTGAAGATGATGAAATCGATTTTCTTCTCATCCCAACTGGATATAGTCTACTTTTATCATCCTCTCTCTCTCTCTCTCTCTCTCTCTCTCTCTCTCTCTCTCTCTTATAAGACAATTAGCTTTAACGAGTTTCACAATCATTGGCATTTTCATCGGGTTAGTTGTCCTAAAATTGAGAAAGTAAGGGCTATGCTCGATTTTTTTGTCTTCTTTTCGTTAATCGTCTCGAATGAAGTTTAAGTATAAAATGTAAGAGATAAAGCACCATCCTACATCAATGTATTCTAATAAACATTATTTTCTGTACTTCGTTAAGCCAATGTTTTATTTGTCTTTTAGTTTGTTATTGGATTTATAGGGTAGCATAAATAAAACATTCGTAAAATAAATAAAATTCGAAAGCATTTCCAGTGTAATCACTTAACCTGAATGTATATCGTGAAATTTAATTGCCAATTAATTGTAGTGTCAATATTAAGGTAATGACAATAGAGGCAAAAAAAGATATAATATAGATTGATACGCAATTCGTATTTCTATATTTATTCATAAATTTCAATTGTGTCGTAATTGACGTATTATCAGCAAATTTAATTTTATAATCGAATCCAGTGATTAGTACGTAGAAACAAAAGTCATCGGTCCGTATTCCTCCCGTTTCTAACGCCTCTACCTTCACTTCCATCGACACTTATGATTATCCGACAATATATTGCCCTTAGTTAGGAAAATACATTGCACCTTCGTTTATTTTAGAATTGTGACGCTTGTATATCGGCGATAATCTGATATTCAAACATTCTATCGTTTGTGTAGGACCATAGCGACTTTCATTTAATTCAATTGTAACTACATAAATAGCTAAACACGATATAAAAGTATTAGATCGGTCGATCTCGTTCGAGTAAATTATTAAACAGGACATGTTATAATTTTATAATTCTCTATAGTACCGATTAATTACATGATCATGACCAAGCAAACAATATTTATCTCTTTAAGACGAACATATTTAAATAATCAATAGACATATTTTAAGTAATAGGCACGTAATCCATTAATTTTCAAATATATTTTTTTAACATTAATAATATGTAATATGCAAATCGAGAATATTGATTAGTTTTTAAAAGTCATCCGTCATAATTATCAGAATAAGAAACATTGTAATTTGAAACAAGTAAAGATCGATCAAATCGTCGTGGAAAATCGTAAAATTTATATGTATAAAAAATGTATATTTTTTAATAAAAAATTGTTCATTATTAGTCTTTGAAAATTATCTGTCATAATTATTAAACTAAGAAATGTAATTTAAAATAAATAAAAATTAAACGAATCATCCTGCTAAATTGTAAAAATTAAAAATTGCAAAATATGTTACCATCAAATTTAAAAGTTACGAGTTCAATCAAATCTAATGTAATTATGAATATACTTGATACATACTTAAATTTTATATTATAATAATATATATATATATATATATATATATATATGTATATATATCTACGTATTAATATATATATACGTATTAATAACAACATAATACAATAAATATAATAAATAATAAAATAATATTAATATGTCTCATTAAAATTTTAGGCTAACTTTAGTATTTTTATTATAATGAAATTACGTTTTTCATGTATTATATTTATGAACTTATTTATATATTATTATGATTTATTTTGCAGTTAAAAATCCTAACCCTTCCCGCCATTAATACCAATTTTAATGAAACTGCTTTCACTTTAAATAAAAAATTCGGTAGTTCATGGTTCAACAAAAAAAAAAAGAAAGAAGGAACTTGCAAAGAGAAAGAGAAATGTACTAAATATAAAGTTGAACCGTGCATAAAGCGATCAGACTTACCGTACATTATTGATACAAGAGAAACGTCAAAATGTACAGATCATAATTATGGTAAACAATTGTATTTATTACAAATTCTATTGTGATACAAAGAAATCATTGTGAAATTTAGAAAATGATATAAAATTTCTTGAAACTATATATATATATATATATATATATATGCATGTACACACACGCATACATTTATTTTACATTCATCTCTGGTTCATGAAATAAAATCAAATAGCTTATTACTAACTAATTATTCTACGTTTATATAGGAAAATCAAAACCGAAAAAGTGGTTTTTTTTTAGTAGAGGTTCCCATGTAAGTAAAGCAAAGTCTTCGTCTTCGTGTGGTAAGGACAATACAGAATGTCCGAAAGATATAACATTTTTAGAATATATTATGGGCCCTAAGAAACCTGAGCCCGAACCTCAAGCACTTATTCTCTTACCAAGGAAGTAAAGTATCATCATCCGTATTCCTCTAGAGTTATAAATAAATTATTAAATAAAGTATCAGCTCACAATTGCACGTTAGAAGTATTTTTTTTCTATCTTTTCTTTAAATTTAACTTAAAAAAATTCTTCTTCTTTTTTTTTTAAACTACACTCCCAATACAATACAGTTAACTATCTACTTAATTTATTAATTTTGATATTCATACAAATGCTTTCATAATAAAGCAGATGTCATTAATGGTAATAATTTTTTTAATTTATTACATAGAAACACGTGCAATACCCAACTGGATAATCGATGTTATAAAAAGACAGAAAAAAATGATATCATTGATTGTGGGAGAGTGATCAATCAAATCAATCAAATCCATCAAAACAATAAAAAACAACCTTCATGCAAATCAGAGCTGATAAATCCGATGGAACATAAACTTCCGAGTGCAATTATTTGCAAGCGGATTATCGACTGTTTCAACCGAAATGGCAGCCTTTCATTTTGCGGGAACTTTGATTTCGATCCTTACAAACCAATTGCGTAATATCTCATACTATTTGTAACTGTAATTAAGGCGTAACATTTTAAACGTACTGCTAATTCGGGCTTAGGTATTTAAAAACAAAAAACATGATTTTATAGTTTAAAATATGATTTAGCATTGACGAGTCCTCGATACACTATGAGAACCAAATACAAACGATAGACGTTAATAATTGAAAGATTATTTCTCACTTATTCCTCGCGCGATAGGTGCCCAATTCATTCGGAAATCGCCAGGCTACCATACGAAGAGATGCGTCCACTATTTGCAAACAAGAGGTGCTTGAAGATCAGATGTAAGAACAAATTTATACATATTAGAAAATCTCTGGAATGCTATAGTCCGCAATCTGCCGAGCAATCGATACTCCAACAATACAATGCTAATTTTATGCCGAAAGAAACAAATTGCTCCTTGTATGATATCCTGCAATCAAGAAATTTAGTAATAAACCCTTCACTATTCAATAGAAGCGAGTCAAGGATTTCCAAAAACGAACGATTGAAAGCATTAATGGTGGAGAGAAAATGTTATGATCCAATCTGAGCAATTCACTTGTATATAGACAATTCCTCTTCTATCATAATTTCTAAAACCGTCGCATTTTAAATTAATTTTTAAAAAAAAAACTCAAAACTATACAAAAAAACGCCACTGATCATAAACATTTACAGTTATTGTGCCCAGTGACTGTAGTAAATATAGAATTATAATTGACAAAAAATAATTGTGCATATTGTGTAAATCCAAAAATATTTTGACTTGAATTAAAAACAAGAAAAAAAAGGGGCAAATATCGAATGTGTTTTTATAAATTTACGGCTACAAACGCGAATAACGTATAAATAGCACGTAATTGTAATATTATAAAATTGTGTAATAATGTTGCTTCGGGAGCTTTGTCGCGTAGAAAATTTCACCGATGTATCGTAAATTTTAATGAGAAAATCATTTAAAGAGACAATTCAATTGTGTAATAAATCCCGAGAATTTATTAGGGTCGATGATATTAATGAAAATCGAGTGAGAGTCCAGCACTTGGTGTCTCGTTTTATCCTATTCTTTCAAATTTTCCGTAGGAGAAGAAGTAAGAGAGATCTATTTTAAGCAGCTTGTGCATTTAAAATGAACAATATACGATTTTATAATAAGCGAGTTTGTGTTTGCTCTCTCTCTTTCTATTTTCCCTCAACTTTTCATGTTTCATTTCAATATCCACTATCACATTGCGCATACACGCAACATAATTATTTGGACGTTCCTCGTCCTCGTCGTCATCCTCCTCCTCCACCACCGCCACCTCTTCCTTTTCACTCCTTCATCACCGCCACCTCTGTCATAATCGCGTACTCCTCTGCCGTCCAGAGCCGGTAGCGGCGAATCGCCAAATCGAAGCGAATTTCCATCGGCTATGAAACTCGTCGCCCAGCGCCATCTACGGGCCGGCTAACGAAGCACTTGACAAATTGCGCATCTGCGCGGTAAACGCACAGGCAGCTACGAGCGCTGAGCAGAGATTCGCCAAAGGGCGGACATATTCGATGGCTGGCCGTTGGAGGAACAATAATATCCAGCAGTCGACGGACATTTCCGTCCGGCGCCCTCGACGCCCCGGCGACGACTCTCAACTCAGCGTGCACATCATAACCTTACGTCATTGCGTGTCTGCGATCTGCCAAACGGCTACACACGCGCGCCAGGCCACATTTTAGGCATCGAGCGCGTGCGCCTGGCTTACGTGACACTTGGCCCAAGATATTACATTCGGCAGGACGGCTGGAGGGCGCCGATTGGGAGACTGGGCGAGAAATGTCGCAGGGGAGTGCGACATTTAGTCACAAATCCAGGCAGAGAGCGCACATTTTTCGGCAACAGTGCCAATCGGCCGCCACGGAACGTGACTGCCGATCGTCCCTATTGACAGAAAATGCGGCCGCTGCTGTCAGATCGAGCGAGAGCGGCTACGAGGACGGCCACGAGGACGGCCACGAGGTCGAGGTGGCCCAACGTGACTCGACCAGCTTACATAACGAATTGGTATAACTCCCTTTATGGTTGTTGCCTGTCTCATCGGACGCCGGCTCGTGCTCTCGCGTACTCCTCAAATTATTTGTTTTTTATCGTCGTCTCGTCTCGTAAATATAGAGTGCATTTATTTGTTTACGTAACAACGGGGCTTGTCACATTTGTTTTTCCTTTGGTGATAATTGTATTATGGTGTCGGGGCGCCGATAGAAATAGCCGAGTTGCTTGATGGAGAATGTCGGCGCGATGGTAAATAAATTATGTGTGGAAGAGGTATTTGGAAGGGAACATTTTACTATTTAGAATTGTTTTGTAGTTTCGATCCCCGTTCTGTAATTCGCTTAATTTATTTATCCTCCAAGGCATTATGTAGCACTGGTCTATTATTAACTATAATAATTTTGCGTTGGAACAATGAATTCAGCCTTGGCAATGCCCATTTATATATATATATATATATATATATAATTGTATATTAATGTTTGATTATTTTTCTTTGTCTTGTTTTTTCTCATTGATTTTATCTTCTTTTTTCTTTTTTTTTTCCCCTAAGACTTTTATCGATACAATGGATGTTGATCTCTGATTTTGCAGCAACAATTAAATGGTCCCATTACTAAAACGGTGGAGGATATTGAAAAGTGGCTAAAGATGACCAGCGATTCAATCTCGACGAGCTTGGATATGAATGTTAAAAATACTTCAAGAGCAAGCGTCGAAAGATACTTAAACGAGCAGCTGTCCGAAGCATCTTTTGAGAAAGATCTTTTGTCATCTGATATTGACATCATAGCCAAAAAATTGAACATGAGCTATGACACTATTTTTAACGAAGTAAATAATGAAAAACTTTTGCCTTTGCCCGAAAAAGATGACGAGTTTATACTTCCAGAGTTGCAGTTAGATAATTTAGATCAGCTAGAGTACTGCTCGGACGATATGATTCTAGCGGGTGAAATCCTACCGTCCATTCACGCACAACCATCTTGCAGTAATATTAATGTAAATAGTAAGGACTCGAAGGTAGAGTCGCAAGAAACTATTCGTACAAATAATCAAAATGACAAATTCATGAAGATTGAACAGGTACAAATTGAGACTGATACAGAGATAACTGAAAGCGAACAATTTAAAGATAGTATCAACAATATTGATAATTTTGTAAATGAAAATTTTTATAATACTTCTGTTCTGACAAATATTCAGGACTTATCTAACGAAAATGTGTCTTATAATGAATCTGGTATAGATGATTCTAAATATTGTACAGATCTCAAGCACAATGATATATATAATAATACGACAGCAGGTAACGGAACAATTTGGTATCATGGAGTACAGGCTAGAACAAAAACTCCATATCTTAAAAATAAAACGATAAACTCAGCTTATGAAAGTTCTGCGAGTGCAAAGACAAAATTTCAGCCCAGTATAATTAAGCGAAAAAGAAAATTAATGAATAAGGGGGAGAACAGTCGGATCAAAGATAGTACAATGTCGGTTGTTACCATTTCAACGGAGAAACAATCAAATTTTACACAAATTTTTATTAACGCCAACAAAGATGACGAATTACTAAATAATAAGTCTTTAATGTGCAAAAATAAATGCAGAAGTAAGTCATGTAGTTCCAATTCATCGGACGAAGACGATGAGGAGAAAATCTTGAGAATCAAGCCATTATCGTATTATAATCAACAAGAGCTGGCAATTTCAAAGGCATTAGAAGAAGTGGGTATACGAGATAACATGTTGCAGCATATTATAACAGGAGATAACGTTAAAGTATGGCAGTGCCATCAACACGAATGTGCTCGACAGTTTGCAAAATTATGCAGTCTAAAAGCTCATTTGTTGACTCACTTTGGCATAAAACCATTTAAGGTAATAAGCCTCCTTCTTAAGATTTATCTAAATTAAAAACCAATAATTGATTAAAGCAAAAAGTTACAATTCTAAACTCTTTTATTAAAACATTAGGATATTACAGTCTTGAAGATATTTGCAAATTGAAATATCTTATGAAATATATATAACAAGGATAACTTTAAAACTATTTATTAATACACACATTTTTCACATCGCCACAGCACTGCAAATCATAAATAATTATTGCAATTGTTTTAATTCCTTTAAATTTTATATATTTATTTGTTTATTTATACATTGCTGATCTTAAGAAATTGTACAGTCATCGCTTTATCTTAAAGAGGATTTAAAAAAATAAAAAATGGAATATATAAATTTCAAGATTAAAATTTTTTTTTGTTAATAATTATTAGATAAGATAATATAATTAATTTATGTATGTATATGTATATATATATATATATATAAATTAAATTCATATTTAAATGTTTTTAATTGGTTATAAGTAAAAAGAAACATCTACCTCGATATTCTAATCTATTATAAATAAATAAAATTATAGAGTTTTCGTGGTTAAAATCGAAAAAAAAACATCATTCTGATTGTGTTATATTCGGTTCTTGGCAAATTTAACGTCCTTTCATAATTTCAATATTATAAGCAAATTTGGACAGCGGTCATATCTATTGTTAATAATATCGCTTTTATAGAAAATATCATTAGCAATACGTTAAGAAGTATGAAATACTTTTCAGTGTGACTACGACGGCTGCTCATGGGCATTTTATTCTGAATTCAAGCTCAAGCGGCACAAGGACACGCACTTAAAAAAGAAAGATTACATATGCTCGACGCCCGGCTGCAAGCGCAGGTTCACGACGATCTATAACTTGGCGAGTCACGAGAAATTGCACACCCGGCCGAACAGAATAGTCTGCCAGGTGCCGGAGTGCACTGCCAAGTTTCAGACGAAGCGAGCCCTGGAGACGCACATGAAGACCCATGACGAGAGTCTCGCCCCCTACGTCTGCAACTTCGAGGGCTGCGGCAAGCGCTACTACGGGAGCAACGCGTTGATGTCGCACCAGCGCTGCCACAGCTACTCCCACTTGGACGTGACGTGCGTCTGGCCAGGATGCGGCAAGACCTTCGACCAGCCGTGCCGGCTGAAGGCCCACATGCGCTCGCACACCGGCTACAAGCCCTACGCGTGCACCTTCAAAGGCTGTAAATGGGCGTTCTCGACCTCGAGCAAGCTCAAGAGGCACCAGAAGAAACACACCAACGATCGGAAATTCGTCTGCGACGTGGGCGACTGCCACAAGGCCTTCATGCGCTCTGAGCACCTTAAGGAGCACCGGCTCACCCACATCGAAGAGCGATTCTTCCAGTGTCACATCTGCACCTCCGCGTTCTCCGCCAAGAGCAGCCTCTACGTCCACATTAAGAAGCACACGAACAAGGAGTTCGTCAGTAGGGCGCGCCAGCAGAAAAAGAAGAAGACCGTAGAGAAGAAGACCGGTAATAAGAAGAAGGACGTCTATTGTTCTAGAGTGCAGCCGGTGAGATTGTCGGTCAATAAGATGAAGAAGAGCTGCTTGTCAAACGATTCGTCGGACCTCGAGCAAGAAGCGGCCAATCAAAGGACCATCAAGCACCTCGAGGAGAACGAGAACATTGCCGATAAAGGGCTGAGTCTATCGAGCTCATTACTCCCGAAGAAAGTCTCGAGGAACGTGTATTTCTGCCCAGTGGATCCCTGCACCAAATGGTATCCCCTCAAATCTAGCTTAAGAAGCCATTTGCAGAAGGAGCATATCACACCCCTTGCTGAAATTCAGAATAGCAGCTTGACGCGCGTGCTCTCATCTAGTCCGGTTTCCCAAGGAGGTCTTATCATGTACAACTTAGCAGACTATTCGTTAAGCAAGCGCGGCGATCAAGTGATGGCGACGTCCTTCGAAGCAGCGCCCGACGATCGAGCAGCGAAATTCGTCAATTATAATAATACCGTAGTACATACTACCGAGTCGCCGGCCTACTTGGCAGTACAGGATATTGAGAATGTTGTCGGCAAGCATTGCGGGGATAACGAAGGCGCGGCCAGGACCACCTTCACACGCACGGATGTTTTAAACTTGAAGCCGAATCGAAAAGTCGTGGATTCTAGTGTGGGGGCGAGCGACGTCGTTTTAGGCGGAGCCGACTTCGGTGACGATCTATTGCTATCGAACGATTTGCCCTCTATGTATTGTCAGGAGGATATAGGGGTGCCGGGATACCAAATACTGCTACTTGACACCAATCCAACCGATAGTGATATCAATATAAGAGATTTAGATTAATAAGCAGGCTGAGCCTCGGCTCGCTGATCACTGGATTTACAAAAGCTCAATGAGAACGAATGATATTTAACTATTTAAGTTTATTTATCATCCGTTCCCTTTCCCTCCCCTCCCACGCCCTCCATCGCCATCCCACCCCCTCCCCGTCTCGTCTTTTTATAATTTAAATTACAAATAAATTACGTATAAATTGGTTCTTATGTAACTTAACGAAAAGCCATATATTGTTAAAATTAATTGAATTTTATTTTTAAAATTTTAATGCTTGTACATTTGGTATGAATGTAAATTAAATACGTAAGGAAGGTAATTTTTTAAGTTATTTTATTATTAAGACATTATTTTAAAAAGGAACTTTTCTTTAATATTGCCAAACAGCTAATTGACATTTAAATAACAATACAAGAAAAAACTTTATTCACATTGCGAGGAAATTTGTAAATTCAGTGAATGAAAAATTTGCGGTGATTTAGAAAGAAAGAACAAAGAAAGAAAAACAATTGCATTGTTTCCACTGAAATAGTGACGAAGGATGATACTTAACGAAAACAACAAATTTTTTTTTTATCAAAAGAGTGTTCAGTTTTCATATATTGCAAAGTTTAATTTGCAAATTTTGATCCTCATTTTACATTTAGTTAGTTTTATTATATAAAACTATTAGCTGTACTTCATATGACTTAAGTTTTTTTTTTTTTTTTACATTTAATTTGTTTGTGCTTTTTGCAAAAATTTATCAACGGATGATTATCACTATAAAATGCATATATTTTTTTAACAAACTTGACTTATATTTGACAATCATTAATCTTGTTATATTTAAATAACAATTTTTAATTAAACAATTATATATTTTAAAGTGGTAATGATCTAGGACATAGCTTTAGTGCATTATTTTGTGGTTATCTTATTTTATTCAAATCTTTAGATTAAGATTTGCATAATTTAGTCGCAATGACTATAAAAAAAAAAAAATTAATAATAATAATAAAAAAAAAATAATAAAAAAAATAAAGTTCAAAAAATGTTTAATAATATTGTTAGAACAAAAGACTTGATTAAGATTTGTATTGCAAAGAAAAATTCTTCCAATCCATTTTGACAAAATGACTCTTGACCACCATTATTATATTATATGATTATTATAGATCATAAGATGATGCCTGTGATGAAGCTAGACTCAACCTACCATTACATTATGTAATCCAGTCTGCTATTGGTTTAAATCGTTATTTTATGAATAAAAATGTTAATATTTTTTAAAAACAACTGTTTCTTATTTGATAACCGTAATCATTTTAAGGTGTACAAAACTTAAAGGAAATTCTATTGATATAAGGAATTGTTAATACATAATGGATGAATATTATGATCTTTAAAAATATTGAGTAGGTATAATTTATCATAAAAATTGATGCATAAATTATCTATAAAATTGCTTACTACGTAATGCGCACTAAAAGTAAGTTAAAACTTTTTTCTATGTTTTTGTTTTTTTTTTTGTTTTTTCCTCTTGTACAACTTCATATCAATTTTTACATCAATTTTCATATTTAATTTTTTTTCGTATATGAAACTGTTTTATTGGATAAAAGAAATCTCTCGAACGCCTACTCATACTAACACATTTCGAAATATGTATTAATGAAGTTTTATATTTTGCGGTAAAGACTAACAAAACAAATTTCCAAATTATCATCTAAAATACTGTAGTTGTTCCTTAAAACTATAAAACTACAAATTTAATATGGCTACAAATGTTTTGTAATAATAGTAGAATTAGAAATAGAAAATTAAGCATACGTAAACTCACGTCTCCTACAAAGTTACTAGAGAGACGTTGCACTCACACAATTAACAGCCTCGTAAAAAAAAAAAAAAAAAAAAAAAAAATGAAAAAACGAAATTGTTTTGTAAACACTTTTATATTCCAGATTCCAGTAAAAACATTTTTCATAAGTTTTATTAAAAACATTAATTTTTTTTATAAAATAACATACATACTTTTATTATTATAAAATTAATAAATAAATTTAAAAAATTCTAACAATCGTTTTGTTCTTCATTCCATAGTAAATTTCAAATATCATTCGAAGTTTATGAACAGTTGCACTATTCAGTCTAATAATCATTCGATATATAAAAAAATTATTTGCTTTCATATCACTGACAATTAAGTATTAGAAAATATAAAAAGAAGTTTCCATAGCTTTATTTTCTATTCATAATTACTATGTTCTAGATGTATAAAACTAATGGAGTATTTATATATATATATATATAATCATTTAAATCAGAAAAAGTTCAGTTTGAAATTTCATGTAGTTAAGAACACAATAGAAAAAGAATATCAGAAAAATAAAAGAACTTTTTCCATTTCAATTAATTGTGAACTGTCATCATAATAATTAATTTTACAAATTACACACTTATCCTTACCAACTCCATTTATATCATTTATTTTAAAATGAAATTATTTTGATAAAAAAAAAAAATGAAAAAAAGAAAAAAAATTAGATTTACATCTTTTCTAGGAAAATAAATACTAAATCATCAAATAAAGATACCATAATTATTTTCCCATCGTTATTTCACTAACAAACATTCGTATTAAACGAAAGATTACGCAAATATTAGATTATCTTTCGTAGAAAGTGGAGGCAACTCTGATTTTGGATTGTAAGAAGTTTCAAAATTCTATATAAATGTAATGTACGATTTGGTCGAACGAAAAATTAATTATGGTATTTTGTTAAAGTGATAAATGTCATAAATGTATCGTAGTAACACTCACTGAAAAACAACTTGAGTTCGTTATAAATCCTTACCTACGTATACAATATATCATTTATAATATAGTTCTTACGTTACATTAATACCGATATATGTTTCACTGTTAATCTTATTGCAATACTGCTTAATCGAATATGCACGTAAAAATGACAAAAGAAATGTTTACATTTGTATAAAATAAATTTTATCTACGATACTATCTATGACAGTGATTATAAAATCTTTTATCTACCTCTCTCTCTCTCTCTCTCTCTCTCTCTCTCTATCTGTGTGCGCGCGCGCGCGTGCGTTCGTTTATAAAAGAAATTACAATCGATAATAGCGGAAAAATTTATTCAATAAATAGATTGTGAAATATAATGGCTAATCGCGAGTCGACTAATAATTATAAAAACAAAGTAATAATAAGAAACCAAAATAACATTAGTTTCTTTCGTCATTTTTTACGCACTGCCAATTAGCTTAATGTGAGCGTGTCACACTGCGAGGTCCAAACAGGAAAATAGCGCATACGATAGCTGATAGTTACACAAATGAGTATTTATCTCGCTGCCCGCAAGATCTTACATCACCTGAGAACTAAAGCATAAACAAAAGGCTACTTTACGCGCTACACAAAATCACTTTCATCAGATGTTTTGAAGAAAAAAAAAAAAAATCTAAAGCATTATCTCAAACGCAAGACTCGTTTTTCCGTGTATACGTTGGCTCCTTGCCCATATTTTTGACATTTTTGGCATCGCTGACAAAAGGTTTCCGCCTTCGCTCGTACACATGGTTCCTCAATCGAGCCAAAATACACAGCAAGCAGTGCGTTATAACCAAGAAAGTCAGTCCACCCGCGCATATGAGTAATGTCATAATCGGCTTCTCCCAGTCGAGTATATTGTAGATGCGATGCTGGCCGTTCTTATCCAATCCGCCGGCCAAATAGTACACGATGCTGAATATCAGGTAGAAGTTGACGAAGAAGGGACACCACCAGAAACAACGGAATTCAAAGGGAACACTCGTCACGCACAAATCCACAATCATGAGCAAGCTGTTGGCTACGTGAATGAGGATATTGAGGACGTCAACGTGGTGAATTGCTGGATCGTGGATGAGGGCCCAGTACGTGATGGTGACGCCCAGCGCTAAGCTCGAGGTAACCACGTACATGAACCAGTAGAACTTCTCGAGCTTCCCGTAGTATAAGCTCGAGGCGTCGAAGCCTGGCTGTTCCTGGTACCTCGAGCGACGCGTGACCAGGACGCAAGCGAGGAAAGACTGAACGAGGCCAAGAATCAAGTCCCAATTCGTTAAGTAGATCGGCCACTTTTCCAAAAGCCCGAGGGGATTAACACTGCCGATCTCGAAGACGGAGCAGAGGATAATGAGCAACCAGAGGCAGAAGATGAGGTAGCGGTAGGCCAAGTACCATAACCGAACGGTGTCCTGACATTTCGGCTCGGAAAAATATCGTGCCTGCGTTGGCTCGTATCTCACCTGAAGAAATTTCCCAAACAGCTCACGACACCAGACTTTCTTCACCATTGCGCGACGACCTGTGTACAGACATAAAAGTACATTTTTCATTAGTACACTAAACTTAGACTTAGCATTAATCATATGAGCTAAGAGCAAGGATTTTCTATATCGCCGTATATGCTAAAGGTTTAGTAATCACGAGCATGTAATCATCGTGACATTTGCCGTCTCCTTTTAGTCAGCAGAAATATTCCATAATATAATTGAAATTCTTACAATCTATAGCCCTGGCTTATTAGCTCTTCCTATTTAAATATAAATTCAATTCATCTTAGGCAATAATACTTAAAGCTCTCGTACAATATTTATAAAAAGGGGTAATTCCATATTCATATATTGTTGTTTTTTTCTTCATTATTTCGTTTTTCAAGAGCTTTAAGAATCACTTTCCCATGGTTTTATTAATAAAATTATTATCTAATGAAAGATTATATTGTGTTTTCAATAATGTTATTAAGCTTTTCAAGTATTTTATTCTACAGTATAGTTAAAAAAAGAATATTAAAGAAACGATTAAGCTTATGCAATCTTTGTATTGTATAAATGTAATAAAATACGCTTCTTCGGGTTCATTATTATTTCTAATAAAAATAATTTAATTTCACATTGTATTTATAAACGAATGAAAATCATATGTCTTGTTATAAGTCGATACTTGCCAGCTTCGAGTAAATTCTTTTATATAAACAAATTTCTTTTTACGTCATGAAAAATTTTCTGCGTTAATTTAATTATATTAAAATTTCGTCTACGCTATTATCGTCGGATAGTACATTTAATAGGAAATAGCATAAAAATTATCAGTCATTGACATTTTCTTCCTTAACATATTTAAGTATACCTAAGTTCTTAAGCCAATAATTACTTGTGCACATAAGGAAATAAATACATAGTAAATAAATAAATAAATACATAGGAAATAAATAAATAGTATGTTTTTAATGTTAGCTTAAACATTGAATTTATAACATTAATATTCTTTAGTTTTTAATTATCAAACTTATTAATAGATATTTAAAACTTTTGTTGTAAACAATACAACAGATATTATTAACGGTTCAACCACAGAGAGATAAATAAAATACTTAATTTTCACAATAAAAGAATAAAGATGTGATTTTTTTTAATTATAAAGACAAGAAATATTTTTATATTACAAATTGACGGCATTGCTAGCAATGCAAAAAGATCGACTAAAAATTGATTCAAATTTAAAAAAAAAAGAATTTCTTCTTAGCTATGCATAAATTCTTTGCTAAAATTGCTAAAAATTACATTTATGCTGGTGTTATGGCGTTATGCTATCATGTAAAACCAAAAATAAAAGTACATATTATTTACACACATTAACCTCTCAACAGGCACGTTTTTATTTCTACGATGTATTTAGTCTTTATTTTATTATTAATTTTTTCTTTTTTTGTTTAAAAAATATACCATATATTTTCATTATATCCATTTATTATTCACAATGCAACATTCATTTTAATGAATGACAACAACTTATGTATTATTGCAATATACATTTTTTTTTTTTTTTTTTTTATATAAAAAAAAGAAGAAAAAAATAAAGAAAAAGCAAGATCATAACGAGACTAATATCATTCAATATAGATAAAATGTCTTACATAAATGATTTGTTCTTTAATTCGGAAATCTCGAATAATTGTAATATTACAAAATCTCTCCGAAAATTATCAATAAAAATAAAATTTCCCTCTTAATTATACGGAAAATCCATTATATAAGAAAATTAATAATACGTAGAGATTGATGTACATCATATATTACATAATTGATGCGCGCACATTGACATTATTTCTAAATCTACTGAAATTTGAATTAATTCGTTAGAAAGTGAAATTGTTTATTGTATAAAAAAAAAGAAGAAAAGAATAGATTCTAATTTGTAAATGCATTATAAATAATACAAAATATTTTAATAAGTAGAGTAGTAGAAAATTAGAATAAATTCGTATACAGAATTTAATAATATGCTTGATCTATTTTTACGAGCGCAAAGAGTAAATTTTTATTGCCATAAATAAATTTGATGTTAACTCAATTATTAATTAAATATATTAACACGTAAAAATATTTATGTCAACATTGGAGTTTCTACATACTTATTTCTAACAACATACTTATCTATTTTATCAAGATATAATGCTTAAATAATATATGCCATACAAATACAATTCAAATATTTTTTTTTAATATTTTTTTAATGCATTATATTTGCAATTGTAAGCTTATTTACCAAAAAGAATCAAATAAATATTGAAATAATAATTTCTCTGATAAAGAACGTTAAAATTAAAAATCGCAATAGGAGCTACTCCGCTCGATTATTAACATTTGACTTTAAATTTCACTCTCGAACGAATCTAAAAATCTATTTTTTAAGAAATAGAGTATATATTCACGCTATTATTTACTATTTGTCAAAAAAATATTAAATATTCTCAGTGCCCTCTCAACGCCCATAAGTTAATATATCAGAAAGTTATTAGGCGTTAGCAAGCTCTTTTCTATTACGTTAATTTTATATTTATACCCTTTACATAAATTGAAAATAAAATTAGCTGTGCCGATTCGAAGTGACTGTAAGAAAATATCATCCAGATGCATAATTAATTTAGATAATAAATTTACAAATAAAAATAAACGCGAACTGTAATTATAAAAGCATGTGTCTTTTTATAATTATTTATTAAATGGATTAGTGTGCGCAATAATTGTTTTCATTTGTTCAACTATGGATGAAATAAGTTTATTTGCAATTTTAATATGTAAAATAATACTATACAGAGGCACTAATGTCACGAATTAGACATATTCGGAGCGATTGGTAACATAAAAGTAGGAGTAGAATCGCGATAAAGCATGAAGCAATTACGATCTCTTTCCGGTTTTTCGTTACATAATTATCAAGCGCAAACATTCGTTTCAGCTAAGCAATAAAGATAGAAAATGAGAAAGCAACGATGGTAGTAAACGGGCGTAGGAACGAGCCTAGTAAACGGATATCTCATTCTTATCCAATCTTGTAGTGCGAACGGACGCGCGGGCGCTCACACACACGCACACACACAAACACAAAGAGAGTAGTGATCGACGTACGTCAACGTGTGCGTAAATACTTATTTTATTGGACTTACAGTGAGAGAATGAGCGTAAAGCAGGCGCAGAGCGAATGTTGGACCGCCTTGTTGTAGCACGTGCGTTTTAAGAATGACAGTGAAGCACGCGGTAGATGCAGAGGTCTACTCTCGAATTAATTATTTATCCCCCTCCTTCTACGTAATAATAACCGAGAGGAGCTTAAATAAGAGAGAAAGAGGGAGGATTATGTGAACGATTACGACAGGAGTGATGAGGACGGCGAGGATCGACGGTGGGGCGTGAAGGGCGGTGGGCGGCGGAGGAGAAGGTGAAACAGGTGGAGGAGGAGGGGATATATATAGAAAGAGAGATAGATAGAGAGATAGATAGAGAGATAGAGATAGAGAGAGATAGAGAGAGATAGAGAGAGATAGAGAGAGAGAGATAGAGAGAGAGAGAGAGGGTGATAGAGGGGGGGGGGGTACGAAGACAAACTGAGCGAGTGAAAACGAAGAGATAGGAAAGGAAGAGAGAATGTTGTATGTCAAAATAAGAAAATACGTTGGGAAGGTACGGATGAGCGGCTGCCTCAGGGCATTATTCGTTTACGTTACACAATTACGAAAGAATGCATTATCGTTCCCGTTTTATCTTTACAAAATGATTTATTAGTTGGTGTTTACCAATTCCCCGTAAGACTTATGACACGTTTCCCTAACTGTCACAATATATTCAACTAACTCATAATCCAGGTAATAAATTGGTGACTAAAGCGGAGCTACTTTTAATAATTGTTTTTTAAATTTATTATAAGCTACTAATTCATTCAAATAACAACATACAAATATTCTTTTTGATCGACAGAATAATCCTCGATATTACGAGCACTTCAATTTCATCGTCATCTTATTTCATGCACAATTCAATATCGTGCCTATTATAACAATAATAATAATTAAAAGCAACAATAATATTAAAAATATTAAGCAACATTATAATTTGATAATTTGAGATTCTTAAACGCCATTTGGAGTTTGAACTTTAGTTGCAATATTGCTTATCCAATATATAGAAAGATTATTTATTATCTCTTAAAAAGAGTCCTATGTTGATGAATATTTAATTATAGGAATATTTTCACTTTGTTGATTTGTTCAATAATTCAGATACATTATTATTAATTAATGTATTGATCGTTATATAGGCATCACAACGTCTTTAACGAATAAAAATAATAATAGATCTATGAATGTAATTTGCATACATAAATAATTTTATTAGTTATTTGCTTCAAAAGTATCGACTCTTTAAAAATATGGTAATTGTCTTTTTACTCGATCGATGCAAAGAGTTTTATCTTCATTGTGTAATTGAACTCTAATTATTTTGAAATCCATTTCTATATTAGAAAATTATAACTACTAGGTTTTTTTTTTTTTTTGTAATGTCATAATAAACTAGGTGTTTGAATTAATGTTAATGATTATTAATAATAATAAAAAATGACTTAGAACAGATTAAGATTAACATTAGTCATTATAGCTTAAATGATATATTATCAAGAATATGATATACAAGATGCAAGTAATAATGATTTATTATCTACGCGATAAAATGTATTAAAAATGTTTTAATATTAATTTTCTTAAAATATATGAAACTCGGTATTATATATATACATATATACATATATATATATTTTTTTTCTTCTAACAAGTCAAATTTACTGTCGCAGTAAAACATCTCGTATATTCCTTAATCCATATATTTACATAATGTCTATAAATTTTTATATTTTTGAATATAAGCAAGGCAATTATTTAAATGGTCGCACCAAAGATAATAAGTAAATATCAAGTTTTTTAATATAAAAATAAATAATTTTTATAAAAATAAACTTCAGGTAAAAACTAGTGATCAAACGATAATAAAAAATGTTTATTTAATGAAAGATAATTCGTTGTCGGTAAATGTAGATAGATTTGAAGAGTTATTGGAGATAATAAAGCTTCGAAACAATTAATTATTGCAATATGAAAATTTGTCATTTGTCATTTGTCATTTGTCATTTGAAGTATAAGTTTTTAATATCGTAGAGCAGCTGCTCCTATTTATAAAGTCCTATGTATCCTAGTGTAAATATTTCTAACAATTCTTGTGATATAAAAAATTTGTAATAAACGAAAGTTAATTTAATATAAAATTTATTGATAAAAATTTCTCAATTGTTTTCATACATAAAATTATATATAAGTATATATAAGTTTTTTTTTCTTTTTTGTAATGAAAATTCTAAATAGAATCGTACCATTTATACAATATATAACTTCTATGAAAATTAATCAAATATTCTCAGTGCAAATATTGTCAATAATAAGTTATAAATCAAAATTTTCAAGTAAACTAATAATTGTTTCCACGCGCTTCTTAATATACAATAATTAAAATAATTGCGCAATTATTTATGAATTTCTTAAGGTCAATGGTCGTATGCATGCTTGAATATTAACTTGGGATTACTTGAAATAGAGAACAAGCTAAGAATTCAATTCATAAATAATTCAATTAAATAACTAATTTAAATTAAAGTCAGACATATCAATACATAAAATAATAATACTAAAATAGATGTTAGTTTAAAGATTAGAAGGAGTAAAAATGCAAAAATCTAGATAATTGATAATGGATAGATATTAAACAAATTTAATATTTCAGCCAACCATACATCGCTTTATCTTCTCTTTTATCGTTTTTTGTTTGTTTTTCTTTTTATTATTAACAAGGCTTTGACGTGTGAAATATTAAATTTCCCGCGCTCTTATTCTGCATTATCGGTTTCTTCGCAGTGTCTGTGATGTAGAATGAGTTTGTAGAAAAGCAACTGCCCTCATTAAAACGAACGTCGAAAAAAAATTATTCTATTTTTGAAATTACACTTTGGAAGTAAAGTTGATAAAAGTGTATAATCGTATTACGATTTCGTTTCGAGCAGTGATATATTAAGTAATTAATTTGTGCATCATTTGGAAATTCGCATGGTGCCCCATTTCTTTTTTTGTGGTAATTCGTTATATCCATCTTTTTTTTTCGTTTTTTTTCTTTTTTTTTTGTATGAATTGAATAGAATGAATAACGAGAAGTAATTGCCACAGAGCCAATTTATTAATGAGAAATTATGAAGTGATGAGGTCATGGAACGGTTATTATTAAAAACTTTTGAAAACTAGTTTTATTCGTAGCCATGGAAAAATAAACTTGGCACAAGAGTAGAAAACATAAATAACTTACGTGAACAAATGTTTGCTAACAGAAGCAATAAGACATTAGGTGAAGGGAACTTTCTAAACGTGAAAATGGCCATTATGCAATTCAATTAATGAAGTTTTGTTACAACGAAAGCTAAATTTTTTAAATCAACAGAGTATTTGACACAATTGTATTATTTACTGGCGCGTTTATGGAACGTAACATATGACCAGAACGGAAACAGCTGATCTTGCGCATGCGCAAATCATTCATGTGACATTATGGCGGGTAATTGTGGCGGGTAATTAGAAATTTACATAAATGTACATGAAAATAAGCAAATGCAGATATACGACAGAAAGAGAGGTTTAAAAAGTTAAGAGAAATTGTAAGTAATAGGTATAAAGTATGATAATTGGTATATGGATATGGAAGTGAAATATATATATATATATATATATATATATATATATATATATATATATATGTAAAAGAATTAAAATGTATAAGGTAGAATTAATGAATATATGATGTAACGATGATTATAATAAAATAAATAATAAAGATTTTAGAGGTTCATTTTTCGAGTTTCTTCAATACAAAGCTTTTATTATTACATAAATTTATTCGATATATGATTGCACAATGCGTTTCCAAACATCAATTACTGTATAATCGTATTAACTACTATATTAATATATTATAGTAATAACTACTCGAATGTATTAAATATAGAATTGTAGAAATTACGATATAATTATTATTTATTATTATTTTTTATAATTATTTTTTCTATATTTCCAGATTAACATATTTGTCCGTACGACTATAAAAATGTAATATTTCAATAAACTATTTTATTTGGCTAATCAATCATTTGTACGTACTATTTACTGTGTAAATCGCAAAGAAAAATCAAATTTCGAATGTTTAAATAAAGAAAACCAATTATTTTCAAAATGTATTAAATAACAATATGAGACAATTATCTTATTATATTTTCCATACTAATATATTTTATATATAAATTTTAGCAACACTATTGAAATTATAAATTTATATACAATTTTTAATTTTCCTACCATAATATGCATTTATAAAGTAAGTTTAATTATATAATCAAGGCAATGTGAACTAGTTTGAATTTCTTTTTAATCAAATGTATAATGATAATACAATGAATATAGAAATTAGTATTACTAGAAATAGTTTTTAAAATGTTGTATTCCTTAAAAAATGCTGCATTTCTAAAAAAAAAATAAATAAATAAATAATAATTTACGAACTAAACTAAGCAACAAAATTAAGAATATTTGTAATTAAAGCAAGCTCAATTATCTACGAAATATAAATCTTTTGAACAGTTTTCATGTGATTAAATTGTAAAGAGTTAAGTAACTCAAAGATACTTAGACATGTCATTGAATTTTTTCTTTTTACTCAATACCGCCACACTCAGCGCCACGAAATAAAAAAGTAAAATTTCTTAAAATTGTTTATAAAATAAAAATAATAAATAATACCAATAATATTATTGTAGGAACTTCAATAATACGTAATAGAGACTCTCTCTCTCTCTCTCTCTCTCTCTCTCTGTGCGTGTGTGTGTGTGCGTGTGTGTGTGTGTGTCATTGATATATCCATTGGAGTGTAGGACACAGGATATATATCGATCTATCAATGTAGTATTAAATGTGTTGCGACCATACGTACGTACGCATTGTACTATAATTAATTTAATTTTACGAAGATTATTCTTTGCCGATATAGTAAATGCCTTAGTATATTATTTACACCTCTGCACAAGGTGCGTATAAAAATAATTAAAGAAAGTTAAGGTTATAAATATAGAAAAGAGTACAACAGTTAACCCGATTGGCCACGACTTACACATAAGAACCTAGAACTAGACTCAAATGAAGTCTGCGTGATGCGTGAAGTCATTCTTTTTGCTTGAAAGGTCGCAGTGGCACGGTCAACACTAATTTATCCGTAATTTATTATAATTGTAGCCAATTAACAATGCTGATTGATACATTGACTAACACAACCCTGGCAGGTGCTTGATTGCTCTCAACTAGTTACTTTCTTTTCGAACATATAACTGTCTACGATCATTGTTGCTACTTTCTATTTCACCTCATAAACATTATCTATTTACTTGCCTATGTGTCGCAATAAACGTGCTTCCTAGTGTAACGAACTTTTAATGCCAAGCATATCTGAAGTCGCACCGCTTATTTTAGGTTCAATTCAAACTTTTCAGCGATCTTTGGCTTATTTTAAATTAATCCAATGTGTAATAACTTATTTAGATTAAAAGAATAATGGTTTTTCATTAACTATCGGTTTTCCAAGTTTGTCTTAACCTACGTAATTTCGTTCACGTTTAGTTTACATAATTGCTAAAAGTGTAAAAATGACAATTTAACACTTTAATTATCCATATTATTTCTAAGCGTATTACTTAAAATTACAAAAGTTTATATATACATGATTTCTAAATTAATACAATGTACAACTTTTTGAAATATCAATTTAAATTGCATTTTTTATACTTTTTACATATTACATATGCATACATATGTATACATATATATGTATATACATATTTACATATTACAGTGTGTAGTATGAATACATTTTTTAACTGAAAAAATACTGATAGGCGGATAAATAGTAATGAGCAACGTATTAAAATATAATTAGCATAATTAACAATGTCATAGTGAGAAATTCTACTCTAAAAATTTGTTTCCTATATTAGTCATTAACTAGTATTTGTATTTCATACTATTACTAAATGATAAGTTTATTTATAAGCAATTACGTCAATAATAAATAATAACATAAACACAAAATATTTTATTCAAGAATAATATAATATAATTTATATGTTTAATTTTTTCATTTAAATTTCCAAGTTATTGACTTTCTAAATTAATGTTTGTCATATTTATTTTGATGATTATTAGAAGAAGAATACTAAGAAAAATTAAATATACGCACTTGTAATACTAATGAGTTATTGATGATAAGCGTATTTGAATTTATAATTGATATTGAATGAGCTTGTGTACAAATATTTTATTGTTATTATTTATATGAAACATTCGTATATTAATCACGTTAATGAAAATATTGAAATTTGTGGATATTTTACTCAATTTAATCATATCGAGCATAATATAAGAATATTATATGCTAGATTGAAGAAAAAAAAGATAGAAAATATTTGAGTGCTGGTTCATCTTATTTTCAACTTTCTACTTCACTTTAACGTGTAAATTAAGAAGCCTATTATAAATATTTTCTATATATGTATATGATACAATCAAAATAAATATTAAAATACGTAAGAATTCACTAATTTCAGGGATTATACGTTTAATGAATGGTAATTATAAAAATAAAATATTTAAAGCGGATAGGTCAATATTAGTAATTCTAGTATTCAATTATTCTTCAACTTGTTTTTTTAAACGTAAAATTTCAAATGTAAATTTAAAGTATTCTTTGTTTTGGTGTTAAGATAATTGTAATTAGAGTAGTAATTTAAAAACAAATGGATTAAAATAAACAAAGAAAATAATAATAAAACAATAACAAAAACAAAAACAAAAACAAAAACAAAAACAAAAACAAAAAAATAAAAAAAAAAAACAAAAAAACAAAAAAAAAAACAAAAAAAAAACTAATAAGAAAAGCTATGTTATTTTAATTTACAATTCATATCGTATGATAAATAAATGAAGAGAAGAAAATTCTAAAATTTTCAATCTTTTTGATAATTACATAGTATGTGCTTGGAAGAATGTTACACGTTGGAGTATATCATTGAATAATTATTTATAATCAATATTGGAATATAAATTGTTAATTTAATATGGAATAGTACAATCCACACTTTTCGAAATATACAAAACTATTGACAATGAAAATATTCATATGAGAATGTTTTAAATAATGTTTTATTGTATTTATTAGTAATTTTTCTCACTGGCTTGGGTACTCTTTCTTCATTAAAATTTTTAGTATTTGCAATCATTAGATTTGCTTTTCAGATTTTTATTGCAAACGAAATATAGTACACGTTATGAGCATTATTATTTATAGTTCGATTCACTCAAATCGCCTCTATACTTATGTATAAAAGATTTTGTATGCTCTAAATAATTTTTTAATCGAATGCATCGTACAATTTTTAATGACATTTTGTATATTGATTTTTCATTTTATATTGGCTTTGAAATACTTTCGTAAATAAATATATCTGAAAATTTATTATTCATCTTTGCAATTTCTTTCGATGAAAATTCTGCGATATTACATTCATCATTGCAGAAAAAAAAAAAAAAAAAAAAAAGAAAGAAAGAAAGAAAGAAAGAGAAAAACAATATACGATCATCACGAATCATATGAATATCAAAGATTTAAATAAAATAAATGAGTTTAATATTTAATTTACATCTCTTAAAATTGCATTTTTATTTTCAGAATATCATTACTAGGCCAATTTTCACTTTAATTTCACTCGAAGAATATAAAGATAATATTATATGAAATTTTATGAAAAAAATTATGCAAAAACAATTACGGCTGCCGTAAAATTATGTGTAAACTAATTTTGATTGCCATTGATAATTAATATTTGCCGAAGCTCACTTGCTGATATAATATTTTTAATAAATAATTCACTCGATTCAATTATAAAAAGAACTATATAAAAATATATCCCACCACTGATAAATAATATAGAATGAAATTTTATAAAATCTTCAATCAATCTTGTAGTATTATTTATTCTCTACGATACTAAAATAATACGAATAATTAGTTAAACCAATAACCCTCAGCTATAAAAATATAAAATTATTTGATATTAATGGGTACATAGCATTGACAATTATTATGCTATTAGCATATATGATTAATTCAGTTTGAACATTTGATAAAAGATATGCAATAAACTTATGTAATATAATTAATTAATTAATCCTTCAATGACATTACATTTAGGCCTCGATAGACAAATCTTTACGAGACGTTTTACTAGTTGAAACAATAAGACCATAAAGATCGTATTATTCTCGCATAATTAGCGTAAAGTGTTGTGCACATTTTTTAATTCTTTAAACTACAGTTGCATGCTTTTAAAATGGGAATTAAAATTCTATTTAGCGTTATGTGTTGCGAAAATGTGTTAAATGAAAAAAATTTTTCCGTCATCGTTCTAGCATATTATTATGAATAATATAAAAGGGCAAATATACCGCCGGAATCATTAACAATTGCACGTTTACCCATACACAATCATTACACTCGACTACATCCGAACATGAAATATGGTCATTTTAATCTGGCCTTCTACCTCATCACCATCAAGTCAAGCAATTGCAAATATTACCAATTTTCCGAACAGTTTTACTCGCGCTCTCACTCTCGTACATATACACTTAACATCCAATATTTAGCATAAGCACTCGATTAGGGTGCTGAACATGCCACGCGATCATCTCGCGGAGGATTAGAAGCCTCAGCCGCCATTCACTAGGTGCCCTGGCCCATATCCCCCAACCCCTCTGCCAGTCGTAAAAAAGCAAATTCACACCACATAGAACGGAAGCGGCCTCCCAGCCGTGCTGCTTGGTCCTCGGACCCTCGTCCTCTCGTCGATATCCGGGCATCTCGTTCTCGTCGTCGTGTTTATGTTCGTGGTTGTCGTTGTCGTTGTCGTCGTCGTCGTCGTCGTCGTCGTCGTCGTCGTCGTCGTCGTCGTCGTCGTCGTCGTCGTCGTCGTCGTCGTCGTCGTCGTCGTCGTCGTCGTCGTCGTCGTCGTCGTCGTCGTCGTCGTCGTCGTCGTCGTCGTCGTCGTCGTCGTCGTCGTCGTCGTCGTCGTCGTCGTCGTCGTCGTCGTCGTCGTCGTCGTCGTCGTCGTCGTCGTCGTCGTCGTCGTCGTCGTCGTCGTCGTCGTCGTCGTCGTCGTCGTCGTCGTCGTCGTCGTCGTCGTCGTCGTCGTCGTCGTCGTCGTCGTCGTCGTCGTCGTCGTCGTCGTCGTCGTCGTCGTCGTCGTCGTCGTCGTCGTCGTCGTCGTCGTCGTCGTCGTCGTCGTCGTCGTCGTCGTCGTCGTCGTCGTCGTCGTCGTCGTCGTCGTCGTCGTCGTCGTCGTCGTCGTCGTCGTCGTCGTCGTCGTCGTCGTCGTCGTCGTCGTCGTCGTCGTCGTCGTCGTCGTCGTCGTCGTCGTCGTCGTCGTCGTCGTCGTCGTCGTCGTCGTCGTCGTCGTCGTCGTCGTCGTCGTCGTCGTCGTCGTCGTCGTCGTCGTCGTCGTCGTCGTCGTCGTCGTCGTCGTCGTCGTCGTCGTCTTCGTCGTCTTCGTCCTCGCTGTTATCGTTAGAGCGTGTACGAGGGCCCCGGTTACACAACACCTCGACGATCCGAGGCACAAAGTCCGACTAACCGAGCGGCCGGGAGCGCCGATCGTAGCGAGCCTATCGATCCGGCCTACCTGTTCCCCCTCGATCCCTCGCCTCCTTCTAACACGACCGGGGGATGCCAGCGCAAAAAGCGCGGGGTGGTGTCTACTTACGCTCGCCTTGCCAATATCGGCTTACTGGCCGTGTTTTTCGTCGAGGCTCATTAATAAACGAGCATTGCCGAAGGGGACTGGCCTCTCGCTACTCTGCGCCTCCTCGCTCGTCTCTTCACCTCCTTCCTTACCGGATACTTACTCACTCTTATTTACTTTTCTCGGTAGATGATTCGCATTGGGATAGGCGAGTATAGTAGGACACGCTAATCGTGTACCGCTCGAGCAAATCTTTTTATAAATGCTGGTCTGCGTGCGTGCGTTGCTGCGTGCGTGCGTGCGTGCGTGCGTGCGTGCGTGCGTGCGTGCGTGCGCGCGTACGTGCGCGCCCGCGTGGGTGACTGCGTGGTCGGCGTAACATATTTGCTCGATTGCTTAAATTTTAGGTTTTGGCGTTGTAACCTTAGAAGAATTGTAAATCGTGAAGGATTTTACGTAGAGGAACGTAACGCGACTTTACAGAGCATAGCAATGAAATATTCTCTACTCATATAATTTTCAATAATATTCACATAATCGTCTGTAATCATTTTATATAAGATTTAATCGAGCTGCAGATTTTTATAGAAAGAGATGCTTGCAAAATCCGTGCCAATATTGTGAAAATGTGTTAAAAATTATTTTTAACAATGATTTACGCGATTGAGATAAATTTATCTCAAAGAATGAAAAACAAACGAAATTGTAATTAATGTAAATTACATATGCGTCTGGTCATATAAAATTGATTCCAATTGATGACAAACTAACGTGTGTCAATTTTGTTTTATTTATTTATTTATAAGTAAGAGAAAGATCATAATCAACCATCGTGTCAACATACACCATAAAGTGGAAAGAATCGTGATAATGCAAAATTATTGTAAAATTTAACAAGAAACTCACGATTACAAGTTCACCCTGTTATTTATACAATACATTTTATGACTTTCAATTTAAAATTCGATGCATAATCTTTGTATATTATTGCAGATTATAATTACTACGACACTTGGGAGCCATAAATACGTGATTTTCGTTTAAAAAGTTTGTCGTGAGTAAAAATTCTGGATTTCGTCACGGTAATGGAACGAGCCGTTAACCTACAGCCAATATAAACTTTAACTTACCGCGCGTATAAAGAAATTAATAAAAAGTGCTTTAATTTACAAGATATCTTTATAAAGTCATAAAGCAGGTAAATGGCAATGTGCTTTGAACAGAAGGTTATTGCTTTGCCGGCAATTCACGTTCGTAGTTAAAAGTTTTTTCGTATGACATATTTATTTTTAAATAAATAAATGCTCGCTGCTATTCCATTGAAGTATTAAAAATACAAGTACAAATATTTATTATTGGCCAATTATGTACTTACTATGCGAGCAGCCTTTACGTATAATTGCATTAGCATTGGATCAAATCTTAATGAAAAAATTTACATGCCAGAGTTTCACGCTCCACGGAGGACGAGAACTTTTACGCTGATCTTGAATTCAACATCATTGCCGATGATTCATTACGAATAACCTATTACCTTCTGCACTTGAGTATTTTAGTGTAAGCAAATGCGCAATGTGCAAAAGGACGCGTGAACGCGTACGCGTCATTCGATGCTGAACTTAAACTTGAAATAAAATATGAATATTAAGGCACATCTTTTGACTGACATATCGTGATATTTCACATGCAAACAAGTACATTTTAAACAGCCGATTGTTGCCTTAACCCATTATCCCATGAAAATTAATAAAGCCGCATAAGTCATTTGAAAATAAATTTTCTTTAAAGAAAGGAGAGTAGTAAATGTCCGGCGCGCGGTCATTCGATACAATTTTCGTAATTTCTACTTCTTAACTTATTCATTTATTTTTGTTTTTTGTTTTTGTTTTCTCTTCTTTTCTATAGTCTCTGTCTTAAAGCCGCTAGTTGCCTAGTAATGGCTATTTATGTAATTCTCCACTATAATGCGAATTTCTCTATTCATTCGAAATAGTTTTCTCAAAGTAATTGTACTCAAACCAATAATAGCATATTTTATAGGATAGAGAATTCTATCCGAGAATAGAGCATCGTCTCTTCCTTGGCTGAAATTCGTAAAATGCGCGAGCAATGACGAATCCCCAGCCCACCACCAGTTACCGTTCTATTTATTAGTTTTATGAGTTCGCGTCATTTGCCCGACCAACTCTACGCGACATTTCGAAAACATCAATAGAAACTGCCGAATACCTCAAAAGGATGTTAAAATACTCTGATTTAAAATAGACTTACCCGTGAACCCGTGAGGCTCTATTTCTATAAATAAGCTGCAATTTAAAAGCACTTTAAAAAAAAGTCGAGCGATGCAACAGCGTTAATAAAGTGTCGAATTAAAGGAGCTTTCGGAAGGAAAATATTATAAATGTCGACAATGTCAACAAAAAAATGTCAACAACAAAAAAAAATAAAAAAAAAAAAAAAAAAAAAAAAAAAAAAAAAAAAAAAAAGAAAACCAAATTGATGATGCTCAAGCTTCGTCTTTATCTATATGCGTTTGGTATGCGTTTAACAACTTGAATCTAAGATAATTTTAACGAATCTATCAACGGCTTGGAACGGCATCTCTAGAACGGTACATCAAAGCAATTATCCACGAAAGCTCGCTCTCGCAATAAAAGCTCCAGGTCAGAGTAGGCACTGGTTGTGTAAATTAGGCGCTCAAAGTAATCTTTGGATAAGCCAAACTCTCCTATTGCGGAAATGAAAGTAGCCTTCCCCTCGGCCTATCGCTATTCGATCTCTCTGATTCTCTCATTCTCTCTCTCTCTCTCTCTCACTCTCTCACTCTCTCTCTCTCTCACTCTCTCTCACTCTCTCACTCTCTCACTCTCTCTCACTCTCTCACTCTCTCGATTTCTCTCGATCTCGGTCTCTAATTAGACATACCGAATACGTCATTATTAATTAATACGCAAATTTTAAACGACGCTCCCGACACGTGTTGTGGTACACCCCCGGCGTAGCTTAGCCGGTATTAGAAGGCGCGCCTCGTCGGCTACGTCATACACCGGCGGCGGCAGCGATAATGGCAGCGGCAGCGGCAACGGCTACGGCAGCGGCAACGGCAACGGCAACGGCAGCGGTGACGGCAGCGGTGACGGTGGCGGCGGCTCTTTATTTATAAATCAGTAACGCCGGCGGCCAAAAATAATACCCTCGCGCGGCGTTTTGGCCCGGACGCGCAAACATTCGCGCGGCGCCGCCGTAGTTGCCGGGGCCCCGGCGAGCGACGTGGACGGCTGGAGGATGTTCAGGGTCGGCTGCTAACTGCGGCCGCGGCACCGAGGAGCATGCCAGCGCCATGAGAGCAGCCGCCGCGCACCGCCTCCTCGGGCTCCTCGCCGTCACCTGCCTCCTCCCAGTCGTGGCGAGGCTCAACGAGGCCCAGCTGTGAGTCCCCGACAAAATCATCACGTCTCGTCCGACCGTTTGACTTCCTCCAAATACATTCGATAATGCGGCCGCTCGAATTCCAAACCGTGCAGCGGACGATAACTCCGCCGCGATGCCCCGTCGCCGTTAAGCGCTGGGGCTCCTATTAATAGCCGGGCTTTTATGTACGAGGGTCGTGGCCGGCCGCTAAAGGGGCGCCATAGGGTGGAACGGACTGTGGCGACCGGGTGACGATGCGGAAGCGGAGGGTGGTGCGAGGATGGGACCGCGAGCCAATAAAGCTCCGGGCGCTCGAATAAAGCTGGGAGCGCCTTGTGATGGGCATTGATGATCGAGTGGGCCGGGGCGGGGACCGCGTGGCGATGGAATGGAAAAGGAATGAGAGGGATGAGAGTTGGGTGGTGGGGGGTGGTGGGGGAGGTGGGGAGGTGTACCGTCTCGCGTGTGGGCGATTAGTGCGAAGGAGGGTCGCGGGGCCGCATTATCACCAATTCCCAATCAATCAAGCAATCACAGAGGAGTTGTCGTACGTTTGCAGAGTTGACCAATGGGCCGAGAGCATCGGCAACGAGCTGTGGCGGCTGGCGAATGCTGTGGCGCAGCCCGCCGATCTACTACAAGTGAGTTTCTTCCTCGAACTCTTCTTGCTTTTCCGACTATCAGCCTTCAATCGGGCCCATTGTAGGCGGCTGACGATACTACAACGAGGCCTGATTGAATAATGGCTGACCAGCTGAGAAAAACGTCGGCTCGTTATTCGTACCTTATTTCTTTGAGCGCCCGTCTCTATAATATTATTGTCCTTTGCGTTGCCAATGATCGGCAATGCACTTCTAATTAGAGTGTGAGCTGATTGAAAGAGCAATATGTTGACTTCTCAGTGGGCGACTTGCCTTTTGTCAGCCGTGGCATTGACATTTGATTGGTAATTGACAGCTTTATTAAGATATGATTGCAGCTCGGACTGCAAAGAAAACGTCTGGCAATTTATATATATATATATATATATATATATATATATGCATGTATGTTTGTGGGTATATTTGTGTGTATGTATGTGTGTATGTATGTGTGTATAACCGAGAGAGAGAGAGAGAGAGAGAGAGAGAGAGAGAGAGAGAGAGAGAGAGAGACTATTAAAACGTTGATGATTTCCTTTAAACGATTCGAGAGGTTAACTTTTGAATTTCGAGTTTTGAATTTGGAGAATTGAGAAATAAAAAAATTTTAAATGACCCTACGTAAAAGCATGATGTGTCGACTTACAGTTGGCTTTGCTCAACTGCTTAGATAAAATTTTACGATATTGTAAACATCTACGTTTATCGTAGAAAAAAAACACAAAACGCCTCTTTCAAAAATAATAAGTGAAATATGGTTTTTTTTTTTTTTTTTTTTTTTTTTTGTAAGTTTTCAAATTAATTTTAAATACTAATTAAAGCTTCAAAATTTAATGACATTAATCACGTGCTTACGCACGCATCTATATACTATATGAATTGTATACGTTTAATTAACGTCGTATTTTTAATTCTAATAATAAATTTGAGTTCTAATAATAAATTCGATTATGGAATAGACGATGAAGGCTGTTCTTTTTAGCGTTACAAAAAAATGGGCGTTCGAGTGGAACACAAATCTGGTGACGAAATTATCAAGAATATAAGTGAAAACGTTGGTCGAATGTTAAGCCGTAAAATGGATGCTGTTCAATGTTTATATAAAGAGGCTGAAAGAATATCGGAGATGTGGGATGCAAATTTCACCACAAATTTTACGTACTATTCCGCAAAGTATAGTAATGCCACCATAGAAAACGAGCTTAAAACGTCGAATATACCGGAAAATATGCAGGAACAGGGAGCCAATGAGTCTTATACGTGAGTTAATGAACTTCAAATTAATAATAAAGCTGCGAGTAATATTTATCACATAAATATACGAGGAAATTCTTCACTGTGACTATGATTTCTTAAGTGGCGGGGTGGGGGAGGGGGGGTGGTTGTATGGAAGAAAAAGTACAAGTTTTGATTATTTAAAACTTATTATTTAGTCATACCATTTGCGAAAAATTGATTGTGTTTGACTATTCGAAACTCAAAATTTCGTGATAAAATCATAATAGTAATGAAATGTAAAATTCACTTTTATCTCTCTATTGACGTAATGTCGGTCTTTTACATGTGTCACAAGCTACTATATACGTTAATAGGTAATAAAATTGAATGTCACTCATAATTACCGATTAATTTCACATATTACAACGAAATTTTACGAATCCACTACACTAATTTAATATTATATTATTTAAGTTTTAGAACGAATTACCTTACGAATACAATCCAACAATCTAATCTAGTATTAAATAATTTTAATTATTAAACTTCAAGAATTAATAAGAACGACGAATGAGATTATAAATTCAAGTTAAGGAATAATGTTGTTTCATTGCTATTCTAATATATTTGTAAATATTCTTCCATACGATAAAACGGTGTTAATATGAAATAATTAAACAATGATAATTTCATCGATCTACCTAACAAATATGATGTCCTCGATGTATCATCGAATGAAAAAAAAAAAATAAATAAAAAATAAAAAAGTATATCGTTAGGCGATTCCAAATGCTACAATTAATGCAACATGCTTATCCCATACTCTACTTGCTTTCATTGTAAACGACATATTTAATAATGAGCTAGTAATGAGATAGTTGGCCGTATGACTGGATAATCCATTACTAACTGCTCTTACGAATAAATGAAATTAGCTAATTTTGCCATTCGAGCTGCCAATGCGTCGAACGCTTCGGCTCGAAAAATACCGGCCAAGTTGTAATTTTTGCACTCGGTATTCCTTCAACACTGCATCTATGCTTGCTATATAATAAAGATAGAGAATTTTTTTTAATTGACCTTACCTACCCACGACTTGGGCCTGCGAATTCATGAAACCTGACGGACAAGTCCCAGGCCCAATTACCTCCCTCCGTCATCCCCCATCCCACCCAAAATAGGCCAACGATCTGACGCGAATGGTATTCTTTCGTGCAGTCACATGTACCTAGAGCCGGATACGCACTTCAATAACGTCTCGGTCAACACGACCTACTCCTCCGTCCACATCCCGACGAACGTCTACGACAAGCTGCCGCGCGTCAGCGAGACGATCCTCTGGTCTAAGAAGCTCGACCGCATCTTCAAACATAACTACCGCTCGGATCCGGCCCTCATGTGGCAGTACTTCTGCTCGACCACGGGGATGCTGAGGCAGTACCCGGCGATGAGGTGGCCCGTGGGCCTCAAGGCCGACGGTAAGGAGCTTACCGACACGTACGACTGCCGCGTCAGGAGCTGGTTCATCGAGGCCTCGACCTGCAGCAAGGACATGGTCATTCTCGTCGACAACAGCGGCAGCATGACCGGCATGAGCAACACCATCGGTACGAGAGACGCGGCTTCCGCTTGTAACCCTCACTCCCGCCGCTTTATTGAGGAGCGCCGCGCTCCTCGCCGATGATATAACGAATTCCCGCTGCTCGTTGCCTTTGACCCTTGGAATTTGCTTTTCATTGGCGAGTCCCCCGCTCATCGAGCCCGTGCATCCTGCTCTGCGCTTACAATGATTAATGACGAGCGAGCGATGTTTGGCCGACTCGTGCGTGATTCGAATACATTGTTTCGGCCGAGCTGCCTTTACACGTCCAACCTGTCTAATTGAACGATCGCATCATTAATGCACGAGATATTACTCAGTCGAGCCATCCGCACTATCGCCTCTTTAATTTACACACCGTCCATTTTCCACATTCGTTTGAATTGGCACGAACCAATTGCGAGAGATTGTGCTTAAAGCCAATAATCGAGCCTCGTATTGCTCATTCTCATTATTAATCGCATGAGCGGAAAAGCGAAAAACTCAAATTAATGATAAAGTCCATTGCCGCTCAATCTATGGTTGAGCAATATATTTTCAACGGGCGAGCAAAGTAATGCCAGTACATTCGAAAATTATTCTATATATTTATTTATTTATTTATTTATTTATTTATTTATTTATTTATTTATTTATTTATGTTCTTGCACGTGTGTATGTTATGGGTAGGCGCGCGCATATATACACACATTTATTCGTTTATTATTATTATGTACATTGGTGGCTGGTGAAGGTGAACGCGTATAGTCGTTTGCCCTTTATACGTGGATGGAAATTATACTCGACCGTCCCCTGATAATAATATATTAACTCAATAATACGTTATCAAACATTTTCGAGTCTGCGACCAAGCCTACGCCGTTCCCCTCCGTCCATGACTCTATCACTCTCGCGCGCATACAAACAACTACACGTCATTTTGAGAATAAATTTAATGAGAAAATCCTTACGCAACTTAACAAGTAAGTGTCTGTGGCACATATTCCTATAATATTGATAAATTTAACGAAGAGAATGCGTAAACGTTTGTTCGATGTAGCAAAAGAAGAAATAGAAAATAGAAAAAAGAAAAAAGAAAAAAGAAAAGAAAACAGGACGCTTCTCTATTATTATCATTATTTATTCAATTCAAATATAATATACCTAATTTAATATCTAAGTCATGAAGTTGCATATTTATTCGCATACTTCCACTAATAGCGCCAACGAACGCCACAACTTAATAATACTAAATTAGTCACTCGTAACTACAAATCTTAAACTCTTCTCTGCACGGATTTTAAATTCAATTTCTTGACGATTCATAAAAGTCGACATTTATTTCCAACCCTACGAGAATAAGTGATTGCGCATAAATTTACATTCTTACTAACCCCGCGTTTATTCCCGTAAGTCCAGCGATTTTCAACGCTTTAATTAAAAAGTGCGCAAAAATAAAGCATGAAAATTAGTTGCTGAAATTGGGTGCGTGGGCGGGATGGAGGAGAGGGCAATGATGTTGCTTGATGAGAGTGAAGTAGATGAAATAATTGAAATAATAAAGTAAATAAACATGAGCGAGTAATATAATTTTAGCGAAAGCAACTGTCGCTACAATCTTGTCAACGCTCTCGAACAACGACTTCGTCGCGGTCTTCAATTTCTCCGACACGGCGGATCAAGTAGTTGGCTGCTTTCAAGATAAGCTGGTCCAAGCGACGCCCGAGAACATTAAGAAGTTCAATATTGAGATGGAGACGATGAAGCCCGAGGGCGTAGCCAACCTCACCGTCGCCTTCCTCTCCGCGTTCACAATATTACAGAACTATCGGAACGAGTCGCGCTGTGGCGTCGACCTGAGCTGTAATCAGCTGATTATGCTCATTACCGACGGCATCGCCTCGAACATTACGGAGGTACGATTTCAAATGTCGCTCGTGAACTACGCGTTTACGAGTCGATAATAGCGTATTGCGTCCTCCCATCGCCCCCCCCCCATCCCCATCGCAATCCCCATCCTCACACCCTCCGCCCTCCTCCGCCCTCCTCCCACCATCATACAAATCCTTCGACGCTTGTTAATTTCGCGCTCTTATCTATTGTTTGCTACTCTCGTTCGTTACAACACACAATAATAAAGATTTAATCTTAATCGGCATAGGAGCTTGTGGGGCGCGATATAATGCCATTATGTAAGGGTAATACGAGATTTGAGTTTAAAAAAAAAAAAAGAGAAAAAAATAAAAGATAAAAGGTAAGGCTCGTTATCGTGTGGTCAAGTGTCAAGTGGATAAATCCCCTCGACAATAAAACGGGTTTACTCGTGAAATTTCGCGCATTAATTAACCTGGCCATTTAACTATAATTATACAAATGGATAATTCGGCTCGAAAAGCCTCCAATTTCTTTTCCTTGAACTGGAGAATGACCTCGAGCCGATACCGAGCGAACGTTAGCCCCGATTCTAACGCTCATCGCTGCTACCGCGACGCATTCCCAAAGCAGCCAACTACAGCCGATAAATATTCAGGTGTTCAGAGAGTGGAACTGGTTCAAAAACGGCACGATTCCTGTACGCGTGTTCACGTATCTGCTGGGCCAGGAGGTGACGAAGGTGCGGGAGATCCAATGGATGGCCTGCCTCAACCGGGGCTACTACACGCACATACACACGCAGGCCGAGGTGCCGGAACAGGTGCTCAAGTATATTCCCGTGGTGGCGCGGCCCCTCGTACTCCACGGCAAGGTTCATCCCGTCGTCTGGACGCACGCCTACGTCGACATATCGGTGAGGAACATCGTAACGAGCGGGGCTGTTTGCTGGCTCGACTCGCGCGCGATATCGCCAATAGCTCCGTGTATTATGCTTTACGAGTTATTAGATTACATTGCGCGTGGTCCGAAATTGGATCGGATACTTTGTTTAATGTTGCAATATTCAAGTTCGACGAATTAACTTTACACGGTAAATGGGTAGAATGAATGGGAAGTAAGAAAATACAGGACTGAAACGAGCCTATCGATTAATTTTACCGAGCTTGTATTTCATTGGTCATCGCTACTTTCAGTCGCCGCTTTCAATCGCTACTTTCATATTCACATATTCGAGCCCATGGGAGGAGGAAACGTCGAATGTTTGCAATATTTTAAGACCAGTCAAAAATATCTATTCTTACATTCCAAATTTACATTACGGTACGTTACGGCCCGAGCACCCACTAATTTATACACTATTTTTAATATACATTACAAAGTACAAGAAGAATTCGACTTTGTTTATTCAGCCATCGGGCTCCCTCGATCACCAGCTTATGCCTAATTAATCATAAGTTACAAATATAATAATCAACTGTCAATAACAAAAATAGTTTATTGGGAAAATACCAATTTCTAACGATTATAATATTTCCATTGCCTTTGGCCAAGTATTTGCGAATAATGGAAAATCGCTATGATCGTCTCAAAGACAATATTGTTATGAGGAAAATTATAAATGTCGTTTGACAAATTTTTATCAGTGTCAATGGTCGATTGTTGCAAGTTAAAAAACGTAAAACACATTCTCCGTGCAAAATAGTAAGAAGCGAAGTAAAGTTTATTGGTCGTATGGATGAAGGAAAAATCAAATATAATTTTTTAATATTGTGCATTGCGATCATAGGGGTACTTTGAGATAATGATATGACATTGGCATTAGAAAAAATATTGAGAAAAATTTAAATATTACTTTGTTCAAATACATAATTTTCACTTGAAAGGGCAAAATTCTTCAAAGGCAATTATTCAAAATTGCTTAATTCTTTATTTCGCATTACTCGTGTTAAAAGCACTGCTAATTGTTCTTCGTTAAATATAATTTTGAGATTTCGAATCATTTAAAATATCCCCATCATTTATTTCAATATTCGCCAGTATCTTAGTAATTTATTATTTACACTATTGTAAAAAATGGATTCGATAAGTCAGAAATTTATTACATCACTTCCAGCTACTTCCTATTTTAAGTTTGAGAAAAAAAAAATTGCTACTTAACTTGATTTAAATTGTTAATATTATAAATTTTAGATTACTTTATAAACATTTCATAATTATGGATTGAATTAAAATATAATGATTAAATACGATCGACCGAAAGTGCAACTAAATAAAACATATTCTCCACGATGGTATGAATGCTAACAAATTTTATAATATTAATGAAAAAGGTACTTGATCGAATGTTTGTAAGATCCGAGGTTTATACTACTAATAATAAACTATTAGGTAATTCATGATTATAAAAATCAATCGTATCCACAACAATATTTTAATAATGTTTATTATCTAAATTTCCGATCAATTATAGTTTTTTTGGAATATTAGCAAAGTAAACAGGCAAGGATATTGGATACAATTTTTTTTTTTTTTTTTTTTTTTTTTAATACATCTACAATAAAAGCACGAAAATTGTCGATAATAATTTTAAATACAAACATAAAAAACATATCATATTTCACAATATTCGAGTACTTAAATTTACTAATACATCTTATCAATATCAAACTTATTAATAATCGCGATAGATTATTTGTTTTTTTAACTCCAGGTCTGATTGACTTTGCAGTTTAATGATATTAGTTTTACTGCAAGTCTATGAAAAAAACAAACAAACAAACAAACAAACAAACAAATATTATAGAAGATTAATATTATTATAATTAAAGATATAACAGAATCAACAATAATATATATATATATATATATATATTCATACTTATAGTTACGCATTAATTAGATATATTGAATAAATTTAATTACTAAAATAATCAACCTCCATGATAATTATATTATATTAAACGAATTTGTATTTACAAATCATTTGTCAAATTGGCTCTCCTGAAACTGTGACGTATTGAATTTTGAATAAGATAAGTATTGTATTTTTTAAAGTTTGCATGACATCAATTTCAAATCTTTTATTAATACTCCAATCACAGACATGACAACCATAAATGTCGGATCAGTTTTCATCAAACATGTACTTCCATAATAATCCTCTTAATTTCGTTGAAACATTTTCAATTTAATTAATATTATTTCAATTACTATGGATTATTATGTGACAATTTTAAATATTACATGTTGATTAACTCGACGATTCAGCATTACTTTATTCGAATAATTTTGCTATATGAAATTTATAAAAAAATATTTCTCATGATATAAGTATGCATTTCAAGTACATTGCGTAATAACACATGAATAACATAAAAAAAAATTCTATAAATAATGTATTATTATTTTAAAATTTCGATAATTAACAGTAGATTATTACATACATTTTAATTTATACATTATTATAAAAGTAGTATTAATTATAATTTAAATTAAATAATTATTAATTAGCGCAATCAAGTATTCAATATTATCATAAAATTATTTGGAATTACGAATAATAAAAATTCTAACCCAAGCAATAGATTATAGACTCTTATAAACTAGTAACTAATACTATAATTGTAAAGTTAAAAAGTTGCTTTTATTTAAATCCGTTGGCTTTTATAAGTAAAATCAAAATAGTTTCCTATGATGCTTGAATTATCTAAATCTTTTAACTATCATTGATTGTCTTATCACTAAGCTCTAAATAAATATTGTTCGAATGATTAAATATAGTATCTGGATTTATTTGAATAGTCAGTAAAAGATAAAATCAATATGTTTTAGCAATAATTTTACATATAAAATAATCAAACATACGTCATAATTGGAAAGAAAAAATATAAATATTTAATTATATTCAAAATTTATTAAAATATAATCAAAATTTTTAATAAAAATCAATTAAACTCAATGCCCAATAATCTCAATGTTATAAAAATATCCGCTCAAATAATTTCCGTAGAATTTTATTTCCGTATGTTTTATTATTACAGATAAAATTATATTTGGCTATACAAAACTAAACATACTTATTTATATAAATTTTCAAAATAACTATTTACATATGTATATTTATGCAAATGTAATAGTTTTGTACAGTTAAACTTTAATTATATATCACAATGGTAAGTTATTTATAAAATTGTATAATATTTAATTGTCAATTTTTCTTATGACTGATACTAATTCTAACTTTCAGTGTATTAGTTAAACACATGTGTATTTCAGTCTTGGCTTTCTGTAAATATTGAAATACAAACGATAAATATTTGCCATAAACATTGAATATCGTAACTGTGTTAGAACTATTTTTGTTTTTGACTCAGGTGAGTTTACCTTCAGTAGTAAACACATGGAATTAAGAGTAATTCAAACTGCCATTTTATTGTTATTGAACCTGTGATTACTTAGCAGTGATATTATATTATATTATAACTTATCGCTGATAAAGCTATGCTTTTCGTTTGTGATATCTCAATTCCGTAAAATAATATGAGATTTCAAAAGATACATTATTATTATGTATGATTATTTTTTTTCCGATGACTAATCCACTCAATTGCGGATAGGTAATGACATGGAAGAGGACTCAATGGATTTCACGGGGCCTAAGTGTCACATCTGCGACTTTTCTCCAAAAATCACTTATCTTTCCAAGCAAATATTTATACATCTATTATTATAAATTACATGATATTAAATATAAGTATATATTATACAGTGTATTTACTATCATAAAGTCACGGAATAATATGAATTTGATGATTTTCAATAATAGTGTTACAAAGAAATTTTACATAACGTAGGATCCAACATTAATTTGCATAATGTAGCACTTTTTTGTACGATAAATGAAACTATTGAACGTTTAAACGTATGATTAATTGAAAATTTATATCAATGGCATTGGGAAGGTGAAAACACAAAAGAATATCAAAAGCATTTGTAATCTTCTATAATGAAATGATTTTAACTAACTGAGAAATAAGTTTATTAACTTTTTGCATGAAGCGGGAAGAAAATACACCGCCAATCACGAAAGACCTGAAAGTTGTTGACGATGGCGTGGATATTACCGAAGAGGTAGGCAGAGTTAGTAGAGGCAATCACGCTTATTAGATCCAAAAGTTGTTTGATTTACTTCACTTTTATCCATCTCAATACGAACCCTATGCTAATCAGTATAAGTAAATTGTTTACTTTTAGATGAATGATTTGCCACAAATATACTTTTAACACTCGGCGGACACAAGACTCACACTGATATGCACAGAAGTACAGTAAAGATACGAACAGGACATCCCACCTTATTATCACTAATCATTGCATACTTAATTATTGTGTGTCGCGTAAATATCCTTGGAGTGTGATTCAAAATTTCTACAAAAGTTCTTTTGTCTTTAAGAATATAAGCTTAATGTCACCGAGCTTATTTATGAATCACACTCTTAATTGTCGATGTACTTGCTATAGTGTTGTCCTAAAAATTATCCGCTATTTTAGTTTTGTAGTACTTTTAGTTGCGTGATAAATAGTCAAGCCTTGTGTGAAAATTACTTAATTGCAATACTTCATACGCTCATAAAACGGTTGTACTGCGTCAGGTGATAATTCAATAACATGATGAAGCTACAATTTGAAACAGTACAACTTGTCCTTGAGAGTAAACGTACTTTATTAAGCATGAACCCTTGTCCTATCTCTTATATCTTAGTTAAGTAAAGATATCCTCGGAATCGTGATCACTAAAGACGGATCATGTTATTCACAGGAAGTGCTCAACAATAATGTTATTTTTTTTTTTTTTTTTTTTTTTTTTTTTTTATTATTTTTTTTTAATTTTATTTTATTTACTCTTTGCACAGTTATAATTCGTTCGTGTCTTTTGCTAAAAAGAAATTCATCACAGTTGGAAAAACGCAAAATTACATGCAATTGTAATTAATTAAATGAACGCTGTATATTACGTCACGGTATGGCTGAAAACAAGCATATTAATTTATTCGTATAAAATGTTTGGTAATTGAAAAGAGAAGAAAACTTTTTCCACCTGTGTCGCGACAACGCACCATAAAGCACTTGCTGAGAAAGTAACTCTCGAACAAATGACCTTAGGACAAGCTGCTGTCGGAGAACGCGACGAAGAAGACTGAAATAGCTTGGCGCGACCGCCTCCTCACGTCCGTCAGCATCCCCGTGTTCGACCGCAAGGGCAACAAGAACAGCGTGGTGCGGGCCGCCAATTTATTAGGTGTCGTCGGTACCGACGTGCCCCTCAAGGATATTCGCAAGCTCACGCTGCCTTACAAGCTCGGTGTCAACGGTTACGCCTTCATTGTGTCGAATAACGGTTATGTCGTACTCCATCCTGCCCTCAAGCCAGAGTACAAAGGCGAGCTCAAGCTCAACTACAACAGCATCGATCTCACCGAGGTCGAGATTCTCAACGATGGCAGGGGTCCTAGGTGAGATAGACCGTACCCTTCCTCTATCACTTTCCATACCCTGCGGTCTCGGTATTTCTCGCCATCGCAAATGCAACTCGTTCCGTGGCTTGATTGGAAACTGAAACTGGTTGTACTAGGATCGTGCATCACGTGGATATGAGCATATTAATGCAATGGTGTATTTTATGATTCGTTGTTCTACATTGGATATTGATTTAATGAATTGCAATTAATTGATTATCGAAATAATGGAATTTGTATCGAGTCTTTCCATGACAATCCATAAACCATTGAAGCTTAACATTTTTAAAACGATTTCACAATAGAAGGGAGGATTTGTGTAGCCTGACTATACACAGAAAAAAAAAATTGCGTTACAAATATTTCAAATACTTTAACAGTAATTATTACAAGCTTAGACCAGTGGATAACAATTATTTGTAATTGTAATGGAGTCGAGTAATACACATAGACTTTTGTATACAGAGAGCCGGGCGAACAAATAACGGAAATTCGTAGAGCTCTAGTTAATCACGAATGCGGCTCGAAAAAAGGAGTAAAAGTGAAATTGCATTACGATGATTATCGTCGTGTCACTTTGGAGAGTCGTGATTACTTTTATGCCGCATTACCGTTAACTCCATTCGGAATTGCCGTCGTCCTACCGCAATATGGAAGATATTACATTAAGGTAAGGCGGCTAATAATCTATTAATCTAATTTAATATTAAAAAATTCAATGATTATCAACTACATCAATCGCTTATTGAGCAATTTGCAAAAAATCTCGATATATATAACGAACTTAATTACAGTCGAGTATATTCAATGATAATTAAACAATAATTAATGAAATTTCATTTGAATGAAATGAATAAAAATTGTAAATAATTTTCAATTTTTCAGTCAATTAAACTGATAACTAATTAATTATCTTCTACTAAACGAAGCAAATGATGAATTATATTAGCCTTACTTTAATAAAATCCAAAAATTAGAGAATTTCCAAAAATTTTTAAACATCATTTTGACTTACAATAAATTCGCCAATTTTTCTACAAATTTATCGAATGATTATTGAACATTTTCATCATCACTCTTTGTATGTTTTATTTTTACAATTATTCCTTACTTGTCTCTCATTTGCTTCTCGATAGGTAAACAAGGAAATCGAGAAGTATAGGAATCGCAATATCTCGGAATATTTCATAGGTGAAAACTGGGGTATCCATCCAGATTGGGTATATTGCCGATATCATTATCTCGAAGGACATGAATTTAATACACCGGAAGATGAATTGCGACAGTTTTTAAATATCGTCGGTGACTTTTCAAAAAGCGAAACCGAGCGCTATCCAGAACAGTATAAGCCCTATGATAAGGGGGAAACAGCTTCTGAGGTGAATCGATTAACCTATTAATTTATCAAGGCAATCAGATATTATAAATGAATGAATATATAATGAGATACAGAGACTTCAAGCTTGCATTATTGAAATGAATCGTGGAGTCTAGATATCGACAAAATTTTAACCCGTTTTCTTAAAAGTAATCCATAGTTCGATATAATAATTATTAATATTACTAAAATAGCGATACTATTATCATTATTACAAATTAATTTACAATTGTCGTAGATTAAGTGTTCTAAAATTCAACCAGTGTGCATTTATAGATACTCGAAATACTCTTATAATTTTAAATACGGAATGTTTATGTAAAATCAATCTATATATAAAAAAAAACTAAAATTTGTATTAATAATTAAGCTCATATATATATATATATATATATATATATTAATACTTTCTAAATGTGATATACAAAGAGCCAAAAGTCCGATAGTCCGTTGAAATGCCAAAGTCAAGACATAGGCCAGAGGGAATCTGACACGTACGAGCCCGACTGCGGCAGCGACGATCTCGAAGAAGAGCAAGAAGACTATAATAAACATCACAACGATCACTACTGCAATAAGGAGCTCATGGAGCTTCTTATTATGGATGCCTGCGCGACGAACGACAGCTTCTCCGGGGAATTCCACAGTAACTACCCGGCAGATCGCGAACTGATAAACAAGTACGAGGTCTTTCTTAAATTCGTGGCAACGCAAAGTGGACTCACCAGATGGCAAAAGGTCGAGGGCGCCATGGTGGACAGAATGGAAGAAAGGATTCAGGAATTCACTAATCACAAGAGAGCCTTGGACGAGGCCTGGTACAAAGGTGCCATCTTCCAAAATGAAATCGATCCCGAAAGTATTTCAATCACAGGTAACTGATCCCAGTCAAATTTCCTTATTGGATCAAGGATTAAGATTTATTTAAATGTGCCCGTATTATAGATAGAACAAAATATTTAAAGAAATGAGGGGAGGACATTTTTTTATATCAACTATTAAATTATTGATTCTTTTCTGAAGGGATTCGCGCGCGCGCGCTTTAAACGGTGAGGTAGTTTCGTTTAGAAAAATTATTATAACCGCTTGTCCTTACGAAATATAATAGCATGAAAAAAATATATAGATCCTCTCTGTATAATTGCACTTATTGCAAATATAAAGCGTAAGCATTTTGCTCGAGAGTATAATTAAAACAGCGTGCTTTTATTATTCCATTTAATAGCTCAATAATCCAGCTTGCAAGATTATTAAAATATTTCTCTGATATCAATTTTGAATATTCATTATTAGCTACGATAAGAGGTCATACGCTTTGATCAAACTGTGCATATATTATTCATGTAGGAAACCAAATATAACTATTCATCTATATTGAATGGATCATCTTTAAATTTATTCTCATCGAATTAATTAATTAACATTATTAATGTAATGTTCATGGCTTTCAAAATATTTACTAAGAATTTTCATATTTACGCGGTAATGGGATTATAGTCGAACCATATCTGATTCTCACTCTGTTACTGTATTGTTTTCGCCTAAAAATAAGACATAGAAATTTTCTGTTAATTTATCGTAGATTCAAATTACATAATATTCTTACAAAAACTTGCACGATTTATAATACTTTCAAAATATATCGAATACCAACTGATTAGTCACAATATTTATTAAGATTATTATGTAGTCGATCATTCGTGGCTTAAAATCAAATTTTAATATAATAAAACGGTCCTTTCTTTTACTAATAATTAATTTATTATCGATTGCTTTAATAATATATCCGTCACGGGATTTTTGCCAATAAAATTCAGTTGTTTAAAAAAAAAGCACAAAAAGACTATAAAAGATGAAAACTCTTCTTGATAAAATTTATGCAATTGTATTTACATATATATATATATATATATATATATATATAATTGACGTTGAATGTTTGTTTATGTTTATAACAATTTTTTATTTGAAGATCGTTAATATAACTGGTCTAACATCTTTATTATCAGCTCTGACTGATTCAGGAACTTCTTGATAGTTTCCAGCTCTTAAATCGCTCGACCTTAAACGCTGTATTAAGTAAAAGCATTTGTTATTTAATTGGCAAAATAAAAACTTATTTCATTTATAAAATAACAAACGACTGTATTAGTACAAAGTATATAAAACGTATTAGAAGCGTGAAAATGATTTCATAGTGGCAAATAGCATTTTTAATCAAAAAATTAAACGGAAGCTGTTATACGGGGCCCTATAAGGGAAAAGAAATTGTTATATTAAAATGTTGTGCATTGCATCAATTTTACATAATAAAATATTATAACGTGAAAGTTATGAATCTGTAAAACAAAAATCCACGTTTCTCGGGAAAGTGCCACCGATCAAGGAGTTGGAGTCGGGCCTGAACTCGACGGTTACGATATCACTGGGAATCTATCCCCGAGACAACGGTAAGAAGGCGGCAGCTGGTGTCGTCGGATTCCAGCTCCCGATGACGGCACTCTACCGCCAATTCACGAATATTATGACCGAACACGTCCCGATACCCGGGTTGAACTGCAGCAGCGGCGTCGTCGACTGCTACCTCATTGACCAGAATGGCTACATCGTCATCTCCGAGGCGCACGACCACGATGCCGGCAAGTTCTTCGGTTCCCTGGACCAGACATCGCCGATCATGCGCTCTCTCGTCGACCAGGGCCTCTTCCACGCGGTCGACATTTATGACTACCTGGCCGTCTGCTACGACATTGTAAGTCCTCCCACCCACTCGGTCCAGCCACTTCACGCTCAAACACTACAAATTCAACTGCACGGCTCTTCATCACGCTTGCTTTACTTATCGTAACATTAACACGCATACGCAAGCGCAAAGCTTTAAGCTCAACGGGAAGCGATACTAAGCTTACATTTATTATCGTGTTTCTCACCAATTAACAATTTTCATAATTAATATCCCCATCTTTGGATGCTTTAGCGAACAATTCCATCCTAAGGCTCGAGTATTTTATTTTGTTGTTGCATTGTTGCATTGTTCAACAATTTGTATTTCTTTATAACTTGCCAATAGTCGCGAGTTATGTTTCACAATCAATGGCTTGATTATTGGAAACTTGCTGCTTGGCATAAAAAGGCGTTCAAAGTGGAAAGTTATGCTGTATAATTATTATAGGAAGATTGAAGCTGAACTAACACATATTAACATAATTGTGTGAAAAGCTTTAGCTTCATTTGTTTCTAAATCTTCGTGAGAAATCTTCGTGATTTTAAATAAGACTTCTTCATCCATGGCTTTAGCTATTTATATATTGAGTAGAGAGAAATTTCATTCTGCAATTTCATTAAATTACCTTTTCTATCCTTACAAGTAATGTATCGAAACAGTTTCCGTAAATACCATTTTCAATTAATTGTATTTTCTGTAAAAATATTTATTAATAAATGTTTATTTGAAAATTTCCATTGTCATCTCTTACGACACTTATCGATTGCGTTTCTTTACTTTGTTGAAACGACTTGAAACCTTTATACTCTCCATTATTTTCGAAAATTAGCACAAAAACTAATTGAGTTATCGATACACGTAACATTTGATTATTAACAGCAGATTACAATAATATTAATGACTTTTCCTCAATATCCATTGTTTCGGGGCTGTAAAAATATATTATGCTTTTGAGCCTTTTGAATTTTTTTTGCTCGATAATCAGCTAATAAATGCGAAATTTCATAAATTACGAAAATATTTCTGTAAGAACTTAGTTACGTAAGCGTTTTTACAATATATCACCATAAGTCAGCATTTCTTTGGCATTCAATATAAAACAACGGCCTCAACACTATTATAATTCCATTATATGGTGTAATGTAATTACAAAATCAATAAACATTAGGATCTCCAAAAGTCCTCGATTGCTGCAATAATAAATAAAAATTTTATACACCGTTAATTATTCTAACAATGAATTACCTACATAAAGTCGGTATTGTGAATTAATAATTTTAGAGAATTAGTTTTACGCCTAATAATCTGCAGTATTAAAAAAAATGCAAATTAATATCTATAATCAACTTCGTAACATAAAAATGAGAAATAACCACTTTGCATGATATTTTGCCAAATGCATGTCCAATGACAATTATAATAAATGACATGTCCCTTATGACATTAATATTTGAATATTAATTACAAAGGCAAGATTTTATAAGATGCTAATAATATATAATGGTTTCGTGATACTCATAATTTAGAAGCGAAGACACGGTGACGAATTGATGCTTTAAATCAATAATAAATTATTTTAGCTATTTTAGCAATTAAAGTACTGCGATTATTTATCATCAAAACAATTAAATACAATGTAATTTAATAATGTAATGTAATGATTATTCAATCTCGCCAAGTGTCGTTTATGCATTATTGTTAATTGTATGACGTTATATTGTCCATGTTGATGTAATAATTTAAAACACTTAATTTCATACTGAATTTGACCAAAATTTCTACGATTTAGATCGCATATGATAAATTGTCAAATAATTGTCAAACATACAATTTTCACGGACAGACAATTATCATAATATGAAAATATGTTTAACGACGACAACAAAAGAAATTCCCAATTTAAAATCAATATTAATGTCGAGAATAAGAACACATGATAATTATAAAGAATAACAATCAAAAAATTCCAAGCCGTAAAATTAGTCTGCCGAGATTATAGTAATAATTAGAAAATTCAATATTTACTGGAAATTTGTGTTGTGTATATTCGGTGAAACTTACTATTATTAGTATTAGTATGAGTATTCCAAGTCGGTGATATTCGCAGTAATTGGAATATCCGAGTAATAAAATCAAGTGGAAGTGGCCATATACTGGCAGAGTTGCTAGACAGATCATATTACACGATAATGCACAACCGACATAAAAAACAACCTGACATTCCTTCGTTTATGAGCTTTCACTTAACGTGGCTTGTTTACTAAAACTATCTCTTGTCCAATTTCATTGGCTTTTGGACCTTTTAGAATCCTCGTATTAAGAATATTTAACAATAAATGTACGCTGACGTTTTGTAATATTATCCACAATAGCGTGAAAGAGCTTTGGAATTAAATAATTAATCATGTATTTTTTAAATAAATATCATAATCTCACCAAATAATTGATTCTGAGTTGAACGTTTAACTAATATGCATTTCATTAATCTTATGCGTTTGATAATTTTGAGGTAAAAATACAATTGTAAGGAGAAGTATTAGCAAGTTTGCTTACTAAATTTACCATAAGATTAATTGTTCTCCTAATGGTTGTATAAATTATATAAATTGAATTTAAGAGTGATTTATTGCTAATAAACTTAATAAGCTCATAATATTTATTAAACGCGTAATAGACAAAATTCAAAATAGTAGGAAAGTGCGTATATTATCTATTAGTGGTTAATGTAGTACAATTGGCATGCAAAGCTCACCGACATTTATTTTACACTTTAAGATGGATTTCTCAGCTCGCACTTATATTCCCGTCCTTATAATATTCAGAGTAACGAATCAATAAAGTAAGGATGTTGATCTTTTCGAAAAATTTCGAAAAAATATTCAACAATAGTAGTATTGTTTTATTTCGATAAACTAGATAAAATTTCGTATGTATTTGACTAATTTTTTAAAATGAGATAGGACATTAAATTATTATTGTTTAATTGATGATTAATTGCTGATTTCGATTATTTATTTCCTGTAAGATGCAACTGAATTTCTGTACACTAGATTTTCTTAGCTTTAATGGAAAATTAAATTTTAGTTTAATATGTGTTTAATACTTTGCCTGCTACATGAATGCCAATGAACGATTTGATTCTCTAAAACTGTCAAAATGCACTCTTTTAACGGTCATAAAACATTTACAATGTAGAAATAATTATATTTGAAGAGAGAGAGAAAGAAATGTATAATTTTTCATTATTCGCTAAATATTGACACGAATGTTCCCTAACTATTTCTAACAATTCCAATACAATTTGACAGTATAAAATAATTATATATTTGATATTAAGTAAAACCTCGCATTCTTATTAGTCTACTCTCCTTCTCTCTCCATCCTCTTCTACATTACTTTATCGTGTATAATTAAATTATCGCGATACCATATACGATAAACAATTGCGTTATTTATCAATAAATAATTTTTTTTACTTTTCTTTTTTTTTTTTTTTTTTTTTTTTTTTTTTTTTTTTTTTTTTTTTTTATAAATCTCTCATTTTCTCAAAATACTATATTACAATGAACGTATGATAATCTCATTCACTCGATTAAAATGAAAATTGCACCAATGACTTATAAATATTTTCCTTTAATTTAGAGATATGAAAGCGCTGCCAATATTTTAAAGAACCCATTCATTTACGTCTGGAATCTCATCACGTGGATTTTCACGAGGATGATTTTATTAGCATCGCAATTACAGAAATTGCCCGTAATTTTAGCCCAGGATGAACTAGTTGAAGAGGAAGTTGATTTTAAAAAACCACCAAAAATGCATAAGATTCGATACAATCGACCATGCGACATGAAGATGACATTGTACATTGTAAACGAAACAAATTTCAACCAGGGTTTCACAAATACAGAGGGTAGTTGCGCTTTACCATTTTATGCACAACGTGTAAGTTGGATTTATCACGAAACCCTCTCTGTTCTCAGAAGCTCCGTCGTTAAAATGAATGCCAATCGAAACTTTGCTTAAAAACTTTTTAGGTACCTCATACGAATCTCTTGCTAGTTATCGTGAAAACGGACAGGAGCAGCTGTTACGACAAAATGGACGTAATACCCTATGAGATATTCCCATACACGATAGATGACAACATAACTGAATTTCCATGCCATAAAATTCCATTGAACGATCTATTCAGAAGAAGACTGGAGCATTGCTATACGCAACACGAAGATGAGGACGAGATCGAAGCCTGCGGTGGCACAAGTCCTTTAAACGTGTCGATACTCTCATTTTCTATCGCAATACTCAAGAGCTTGATTAACATTTTCCAATTTCTCTCACGCGAATGATTATTATGTGTGTAACTGCCTTTTATATTACAAATAATGAATGACATTGCGCGAGCTAAAAACGTAAAGGAAAAAAAGCAACGATAAATACTCGATAGCGCGTTGCGCCCGACAACTCGTTTTACATATTTATTGTTCTTTAAAGTTTACTCGTTGTGACGCGCAACTTATTGACTAACATCATTAATTGTCAATTCAATGTCCATACTCAGTCTCTTTGATGGCATTTGTCGTTATTCTCGTTTGCTCTCTAGTTATTTTCTTTTTTCATTTTTTTTTCTTTTTCTTTTTTTTCTTTTTGTTTAACTTATTATTTAATTTATTAAACTTTGTATGAAAGATTCATATTATCGATTTGTTAAATAAAGCAACAGAATAAAGGTTTTATTATTGTTGAAAAATATCGAGGATTTCATTGGAATTCATTGGATGAACCTAATTGGCTAAACGGGTGCCCGTTCCTCGGGCCCCGGGGCCCGCCCTGCGAAATCCGCGTGAATCCATGGGCTACCAGCGATCGTCCATAAGCATTATTCGTCACGACAGAGCCACGACGATTTGGTAAACAACGCAGCGGTGAACGGGCATGAAAATAAAAGAGCCATCTGTTGTCGTGGCGCCACGATCAATAATCAGGCACAATGGGGGGTTACGAAAAGCGCGCGCGCGCGCGCCCCCGCGAACATCCGGCTGCGCAAGCTCTCGGCTTAACGGTGGTGGGGGTTGGAGCGGTTGGAAGTGCGCCGTGGAGCGCATCGGGGCAGGGAAAGCCCCTGGCGGTGGCCACTGATCAATAAACCCGCGGCGTGCGATACGAGACTGCTACGGTGCTCTCGACGACGACGACGACAACGACGACGACGACGACGACGGGGACGGGGACGACGACGGGAACGACGGGTACAACGCTGACGACGGGAAGGTTTGACAGTGCCTGGATGATCCGGGGTAGGTAAGCCGCGAGGGAACCATGAGGAGCTCCTCCACGTATAGGGCCGTCGTCGCGGCGCCGCTGCTACTACTGCTGCTTCTGCTGATGCTCCTGGTGGTCGAGGCGCCTGGGTATGCCGAGGCCAGGATGCACCTCGACGCGTAAGTCTCCGGGGCGATCGAACGTCGCGTTGATTCGATTCGCTTCTCATAGCGACTTCCCTCGCCTCCGATATTCGGATGTTGTGGCTTCGGCGCGGGGATTATTTATGGCGATTGATGAGTCAAAGGGGAGAGGTTTCCGCGAGAACGATATGCGGGTGTGTAGTTGCTCCACTTTGACATTAACAGCCTTGTGGACTCGACGAATTTCGGTTAATCGATTATATGGGGCAAGTCGAGAATGTAGGTCTTTGTGTTACCGGGACATTGCATGGGACTTGAACGATTTAACTTTGCGTCACTGCCTCTCACCGACTATTACCTCACCTCACGGCTGTGTATGCGACTAATTAACATCGAATATATATATATATATATATATATATATTTCCTCGTAGTTTGCCTTAAAAAAATAATTCGTTCATCGCCGCATGAATATTGACGGACTGCGAATGTTCATTACCATTCTTAAGTATTCAGGATTTCACGATGTATTCAAGATTCCGTGCTTTATGGATTGACGTTAAATAAAAAATTATTGACCATTTGGATGCCACTCTCAACCGAGCATCGATATTCAACATTTGAATTTATGAAAATACAATGGTTATCGCGATCTATACTGTCAATTGTCGTTTTTACGAGACAATAGCCGGTTCTCGTATCGAAGATCGTTCCTCTCTTGTCAGCAGTGCGGCGCAACAATACATCCGCGCCTCTACGATACACAGCTCGGGCACACGTTTAATGCGATGAGTACGTAACCGCGTTTAATTTACATTTTAATTTCACCATGTGTTTTTCGAGCCGTAATACGTGCATTTAAAGTGCCATTTAAGTATTATTATAAAACGAATGTATTTATAAAATTATGCCTTATTACCGCTGCGTAAATGCTAGCTAATCCGTCGAGACTTTACAAACAGCAAGAAAAAATAAATAAATAAATATATAAATAAACTGAAATAAACAACAAAATTTGATTTATTAACCATAATATTTATCTTTAATACGTATCTGTTTATATATAAATATATTGTTAGAGTATCTTGTCAATTTCTTAATTTAATATATTATATATATTCGAAACAAAGTAAGAATATAAAGATTATAATATTTCAGCATTTTTTTATGATAATTTTTTTTGATAATTTAACAATTTGATATTTTATTAAAAAAGAAAAATTTTTTAAAAATTTAACCAAAAAAAAAAACATTATTTGGCTTAATTTTTTATCTTACGATTTCATCTACATTTGTCTTAATTTAATTTCACATTGACTTTAGAGCTATTTAATTGAATTTACAAAATATCTAATGTAAAAAATAATAATTTGTAAATATTAATGATATAATTTGTAAAAATGAATTTTATTCATTAATCGCCGGTTAAATCTAAGGCCTGACAATATTAGTGATAAATAAATGTTTATTAAAACCGATCTTCTTTTACATAAACAGAATTAATAAAAATAAGAAAAAAGATGAAGAAAAAAAGGGAATGGATCATCATCACAGATTAAAAATCAATAATAAATATTCGTATTTTATTTACATTAGCGATTAAGCGAACATGTATTAATTAAATGAATCAATCGACTTTATAATATAACTTATAATTGTTATTTTACATCTAAAGTGTGAAATCATGGTCAGATAAGCTTGGATTTGAGCTTCTACAACTTGGTAAATTCGTAACAAAGATCGACAAATTTCACGAGAATTTCCATAAGGAGGGTGAAATTAAAATTAACGATGGTAAAATCGTCGTCGAAAAGATTGCGAAAAACATTGAAGGGATGATGAACTCCAAAGTAGACGCTATACAGGTTAGTATTCTTATTTCAACGATCTTTTTATTTATAAGTACATAAGTTTATTGCTTGCCATCAATATTGATGAATTTAATAATATTTCATTGATAATCGATGGAATATTTCATGGATTATTACACTTTTAATTCAATAATGTTCGTAAGCAACACTTCCCAATTAGCATTGAATTCATAATGCACTTTTATTGAGAGAAAAATCTAATATGAAATAAATAAATAATATATCATACGATCGGAAATTTATAAATTTAATTTTTTGATATTTGATATTTATGATAGACAAAAAAAAGAAGAAGAGTACATACGTATGTGATTGCATTAGGGTGTACGCACATACACTGTACATGAGAATATTTTGTTTAGCGATGATACAAGTCAATGTCTTTCAAGTGCTTTAGTCGTTTACTAATAATCAGATGGTAGATCATTGCGTCTCGTAAAGTCATCCTCATCGTGCCACACAATCCTAAAAATCAAAAAGAGACTAAAAAAGAAATAAATACATTGCAGCGCATAATGGACGTGGCGGAGTCGTCGGCCCTCTCGGGCTCCATGTCCGATGCTCCAGAAGATTTGCCAGACGATAAGTACGAGTACAAGGACGCCAAGAACCATTCGCAGGTGATGACGAACTACAGCGAACACTTTGGGAGCGAAGTGAACCTCGACTACTCGGCCGTCCATGTGCCAACGACCGTCTACGGCCGCTCCAAGGAGGTCCTACGCGCCATTCGCTGGTCCGAGGAGCTCGACGATACCTTCAAGAACAACTACAGGACGGATCCGTCGCTCTCTTGGCAGTACTTTGGCAGCTCGACGGGCTTCATGCGCCAATATCCGGCCATCAATTGGAAACCCAACGGTAGCGATCCCCATGATCCCGACCTTTACGACTGCCGTACAAGGAGCTGGTACATCGAGGCCGCGACGAGCCCAAAGGATGTGCTCATCCTTGTCGACACCTCGGGCAGTATGACCGGCATGAGGAAGGAGATTGCTCGTCACGTTGTCAATAATATACTGGATACTTTGGGCAACAACGACTTCGTTAATATCATCAAATTCTCCAACGTCACGGAATTGGTAATCGCATGATTTTTCTCTTTCGAAAAACTGTCGTCGCTTACCTCAATCGCTACTCGATGGGATGGAAAATTACATTCGTTGCAATTTGCACGATCGCGACTCACGATGTGATAAATGAAAGACATAATGAGCCGGAGGGTAAATATACCCTCGATACTGCAAACAGTCCAGAAAAATGACTAATTACGCTCGACTCCAAGTTGCTCGATTGTCAATTCAATCGACTAGAATTTTTTGCGATTAACCAGGCACGATAGCGGCGAGTAATCGAAATTCACAATATCTCAAGCTATTGCCCGACATTTGGGGAGTTAAATGTATTATATTACTTAATTGTTTAAGTCTCGTGATTTATTTAAGAACAACAAGGTTCTTCTAATAGAATCGTCGAAGTGCACTATGCACCAGGCATTTTCACTGGTCTCTTCTACGCCCAAAACGACAAATCACATTATTCCCCATCGAGTCTTAAAGAGCGTC